GAAACACGTCGAGGAACTTGGTCGACGTGGATAAAGAAGATTTTTCTAAATGCCTACGTTGCCGACGTTGGTTTCTATATTGACAGCTGGGTCGAATTATATTGGGTATTGTACCAAATGGCATACTCCACCTGTCGTTTCCGTACAATAATTATAAAGAAATCTAAGTAAAACTCCAGAAAACCTCTGGATTCATGCTTTCTGAGGCCCTAATTGACTGCAGAGGGACCCCCTGCGCCATCTGTGATTTCCAGGTGAATTAAATCTTCACTTCGAAACCTCGTATTCCCATCGTTTTAGCATAGAAGCGCATACAACACTTTTTTTGCCTTTGTCCCATTCAAATGCAAGTTTATCGATTACCAGAGTGTTCTAAATTGTCGTAAAATTGTCCTGACCCTTTCGATTCTCATATCAGAGCCTTCGATAATTGTATATTGATCGAAATATCAGAGCTCGACGCCATTTTGGTTTTGGCCTGGGCTGAATTAAAAAGTTTTGTTTAAAAATCCAAATCTTGAATGTGTCAGGACAATTCTTAGATGATCAGGAGGGATGTGTCAAAGTTTCGGACAGTTTGGTCTAATACCCTTAAAAAAAAGTTTTGTACTCGAATCGACTGATTTGAAGGGGGTTTCACTTCACCTTAAGAATCGTCGGATACCGACGACCCTCCCCATGGTGGAAGTCGTCAATGGCGGAACAAGAGCGCGATCACCTGGCCAGGCCGGAATATGATTCATGGCGGCATTGTAAATGAAACGACGGCTTGTAAAATCTGGTCATTGTTGGATTTAACGCTTCGGTGGTCTAATGTCTTTATTTCGATACCATTATCCACGGTGGTCCCTCTAGGCCGTTTCTGTATTCCACGGTGGACCGTCGAGCTCGCTCGCCGGTGCTTGCCTCAAGAATGCCATTTTACCAAGTTCGGGTACTCGTTTGCTGGCTCGCCTATTCGTTCCGCCAATCACGCCCCAGTCTGGCTGGCCAAATCCGCAGGTTCGCCGATTTAATTACGTCGAGTCACTTAGCCACCGAGTAATTGGTGCACGTGGAAACGCGTCCATTTTGCGAAATGTCCCACACGAATCTTCAGCGAACGCTCGAGAGCTTAAAAGGACTCGCCAGTGTTTGCTTCATTTCTGATTTTTCCTTTACCGGGGGAAAATTCGGTCCGGCCCGAGCTCGGGTTCAAATGTATTACCCTTTACGAAATGCCACTACGGCGCGTTCTTTTTTAATCAATTTAACATTCCTGCGGACGAGTTTCCACGTTTTAATTGATTGGCTCGGAAACCTGGATAGTTCCCTGGGAGTGGCTCCGCAGGAAAATGTCTTCGACTCGGATCGGAAGATCCGCAGCCGATTCCGCCCAACTTTTCACCCGTCTTCGTCTCTCTCTCTTTCTGAATTTCCTTGCCTTTCCGCTTCCTTTTCGCAGGACTTTGTCGTATTCTTAAGAGTCTCTTCTCCGGGTCATTGATTCCCACCTATTCGTTTTCTCGGAGCAGTTACATTATACTTGCATGCCGCCTTTAGTATGAAATTGTTTAGCGCAAAGCCCTCCTTCCAAGGAAAGTAGTGAATCCGAAATCAGGCGGCGGTCTTGCATTTCAAATATCCATTTCCATGAGTAATTATAGAGGTCTGAAAACGCGAGCCGAATAGTGGAGGAGATCTTTCCGTGGACGCTGATATCGATAACGATTCCTTTTTTCCGTATTTCCTCGCGGAGTGGCGCTACCGTCCAGCTTCGGAATTTTTTATCAAAGGAAATAAATCATTTCATTTCCTAATGCGTGCGCAGAGTTTCATATGACGTCGAGCATCGTTTATTTTCGTAAAACTTCCGACCTACCCTTGCCGTCCCGTTTTTATTTTTTTGACTCACTCCTTGGAGGAATGTATCGTTCTTACAAATAAACGTACGTAAGAGTCCTTTACCGAGATTAAACAAGACTTTTGCCGATCATATCCCGCCCGAGCTCTCTGCCCTGACGCGTTACATAACGCTCGAGTTACCCTTTTAGTTGGAAATTCTTAGCTCAAAAGCCCCCTTTCAAGAGGGAAACTTGAATTCGAATGGAATTCTGAAAGACTCGTTCTCTGCATCTGGCTCGGTAGAGCGGAAAATCGTCTCGGGGACTCTTCAGGGTTGCGGGGAACTGCGAGAAACCCGGTCACACCCATGACGTTTACATGCAAACCGGTCAGGGCAAATGAAAAAGGCCCAGAGACCGGACTGCGATTAGACCGGACATTTTTGTTGCTCCCAAATAATGCTTTCACTTTCGTTCAACGTATCGTTGGTATGGCAAAAAAGGGAGTTTCCGTCAAAAAGAGAAAAGGGCGAAGCGGATCCAGCGCGGAATCCGAGGTAAAGGAGTTGAAACGATTTCCAATAAAACTCTCCGATTACAAGGCCGGGTCCACGGGTCGAGAAAAGATGAAACTGCAACGGTGCATCGGGTTTTGCTGCACACTTTGTTGCTTAATTTCCGCAACTAATTTCGTCGGGCTTGCCGAAGAAAGAATGGAGGGTTGCATCCGCGCGCGGGATTGCGGCAAAGTGCAGGCGGAATTGCGTATCGGGGAGAAAAATTAGGAAACGTCAGACCGGCTTCGGATCTCTGAAAAAGAAATCCCGCGGATTCGCGGATAGGAGCCAACGGCGACGGATTCGCTCGATTCCGTCACGTCGGCCCGCCCGGCGTAATTTGGAAAAAGGAATCTCGAAACTTATAAGTCCGCCGGCGTGCCCGCGCAATTACCGCGCGGGTAATTACTCGTTAAATGGGAGTTCAAAGCACCGGCGACACGGCTGGAATGAAATTACGGCGACGCATCCGCACGGCATGGCATTCGGCCCTCCGATGCGCGGGTGGAAAAGGAAAGTCGCGGACCTGGGGGGGAGAAAAATAACCAAATCCACCTGAAATTTTCAAAACTCGTGTAACGGGCCGATCGTATGCACGCGCGGCACGTCGGATCGACGTAACGACGCGACATGGGCGGGCGTAAAGTCGAACGAACCGACAACGGACGGGAGAGAATAAAATTTAGCGAACGAGGAAAAAAGGCGCCGCCATCGGCAAATTAATTCCCACTTTTCTCCTTTTTCCTCTCCTTTATTGAAAACCGTTTCAAGAGTCGGCCACTTTTCTGGCTCGACGTCGGATGGTCCGAACCGCCCATTATGGCCGCGAGAGAAGGCAATTCGGACTGTCGCTCGCGGTGGAAACCAACCCTCTGGCTGCGGCTCGTTCTTGTTTCAACGTCTACCGTGGAATTAGTGGGTTGAGGTAATAAGTAACGAGCGACGGCGAGCAATCTATTTAGAAAAGAATTCAGGTCTCGTAAGGCCATTCGACGACCCGCCATTCCGCGGCTAGACGCGCCCTTCGCGATTCCTTTTCGCTCCTTTTCGCTCGTCCACCTCGTGACGTCCTTACAAGAATTTATTCACCCTCTGGAGCGAAAAGGTTGGCTTTTCGAGCTCTCCTTCCAGCCGAGGCGACGAGCCCTCCACCGGCCATTTTCCAGCGACTCCAATCCGAAAATGAATCGCCGCGGGGAATGTCTTTCTTTTTCTCGGCGAGCCGAAACGATTCGACTTCGATTCTCGAGAAATCTCAGAGAAGAGGTTCGACCTGGAGGAGTTTAACGTCGACTCGTTACGCGTCGCGAGCACTCGTGAAAACAAAAAAAAAAGGTTGAGACGTTCTTTTATTAAGCGGCTCTCGAAACGGAGTGCACTCCCTTCTCTTTTCTTTTCATCGGAATCGAGTCATAATAATGGCATACAAGTCAGCGTTGTTCCCGTATCCTTCATTTCCGCAAACTATAGTCGTAAAGCGGCACCGTGATTCAGCGATACTCCTTCGGTCTCGCCGGCTGGACAACCGACGTGCAACTCCACCCTGACCACCACAAGCGTCGTCCATTGTCCCGGACGAGGTCACGTTTTCGTCCTCGAAAAACCTGCGCCTTCCTTTCTTGCACATTTTCCACCTCCGGCGTCCCTTAAAGTCTCTGCAATTTCGGAGCAACTCCACGGAACTCCAAACTGCAAATGCATCCGCAAATTAGGGCGATCCGTCCGACCTTCGTTTCAGGGGCTCCAGGATCCCGAACGGCATGGCGCGCTTAATCTGTGAATCAGGTGCATCGGGCGTTAATTCGAGCCTTCGACTCGCGATCGGCATAATTTATGCAAGTTAAATACCGCATCCGCAGACTCATCCATCTTCCGGAGGGCTCGCACATCCTCGACTCTAGGGTTCCAAGATCGCGCTCAGGTGGCGGGCGTTTCCCGACATCTGCAAACTCGAAAGGCCCGACCACAACCTTCCTTCTTGCGTGTCAATTCTCCGGAGTCCATGTAATCCCCGAAGAGGTTGCATCATCCCGGGTGCCGATGCATCTTGCACTCGTCCCACCCTCGGGCGACCGGAGGGATCTTCGTAACCTGTGGATCAGTTGCATCATGCTTAACCTCGAGTGCCGGTCGTCCGGGGCGATCCGATTTTCGATCTAAGGACATCCTCGAGTCCACCCCGATCCTCGTCGAGGCGCCATCGGCGGCACCCGGGGCCGAGCTTCGACGTCTCGGATCATCTCGAACACGGCACATCCGTCGAGACGCGACCTGCCAGGACGTTGTGTCGGGTGGTTCTCGGTAGCGCACCCGGGACGAAGCGAGCCATCGAGGATGGTCGACGGTCGCGAGAAACTTCCAGGTGCAGCGGAGAAGTCGCAGGTGCGGGCAGCTCGACGGAGCCGCCGACACTACCTACTACCTATAACCTTACCACCGAGCGCTCCTTCGCCGCGGAGACTCAACTCGGAGGATTATAGTTTTTCTGGGGGAGGGCGGGAGGGTGGAGGTGCGCGGCTTTCGAAAGGATGGTGATTGTGGAGCGTGGCCAGAGTAGAGTTAGGCGTATATAAGGCCCAGCGGCCCGGCCCAAGTCAGTCATTCACCGGACTACCAGCCCACCACACACATACCAAACATGAAGGCCTTCGTGAGTATCGATCCTTCACGGTTAAGGGTGGTGAGCTGCCCTTAGCCCTTAGACCAAAGGGAGGCCCTTCTGGCCCGCACCTCGGACCTCTGCCCGAACTCCTTCCTCCGACTCCGGACTCATCCCCGGGGAAAGAGTCTCGCCGAGGTCGACTTTCGCTCTCTCGGCTCGACCTGGAAACGTCACCGTTAACCGTTAACGTAAACTCGCCTCGGGAATTCGCAATCGGACTCGCTCTCGCGGAAAACGACTCGCGAAGTTCTCCGGTTTTCCCCCAATTTTCACCTGTAATTGGCTCTTGCTTCTCCGAGGGATCAATTTTCCCGGTAGATTCTCGCGATTCCTTTTCCGAAACGCGCGGTTTGAGATTAGAAATCGCTTAGACGACGAAAAGGACCGGCCAGCCACGGTCGCGGAAAACGCGTCGTCATCGGTCGCGCCTCCAGGTTCAACGGGGCACGCGATGGGAATTCAATGCCGTCGGGTTGACACGGTTTTTGAGGTGGACGCGCGCACATTGTCGGCGTCTCGGCGCGCCTTTCGCCGTTCATTCATAACCACCAGGGACGGTGTTCGTCCCGGGACGCTCACGCGAACCGGTTGCGGTGTCATCGACGCCCGTCTCGGGGCATCTTCCTTGAGGATCCCGTCAATGAATCGCGTAACGCCGCGTAATATGCATCGCGACCGAAATCCGGCCCGACTATTTTCCACAAAATTTCGCCGCGACCCTCCTTTCATTCTTCGGAATTTCGCATCGGAGACGCGTCCGCTTCCGCGCCGGTCGCGCCGGGATGTGAAAGTTTTCCCGCTCGTTAGATATGCATAATTCCGGGCTCGCAACTCTAAGTGCAACTTCTCGGCCGATTCCCGACACGTGCAAAGAACGCGTCCTAGCTCCTTCTTTCGCCGGAATTCTCTCCCTCACTCTCCCTTTCTCCACGAGGTAAATCTCTCCTCGGTGGAGGCTTCTCCGATATCGCCGATAAATCCAATTTACTCCTCGCCTTTACATCGCCCGGCAAAATGCTCTCGTTCTCCCCGCCATTTCCCATTTTCTCGATTGGGCAAGTTAGGTCGATTCGATGTTCGACCCGGTCTCGAATTACGGGAGAAAAGAGTCAAACATTCGCGGATTTCGCGGATTCCTCCAAGCCCACTCCCCGAGTTTCCCAGTACGGTCCGCGCTTGGGAAAAGTCCAGTTTCGCAAAATCGGCCCCGATTAATTATGAATGCCTCTCGCGCTCGGTCGCGCCATTACGTGGCGCGGTTGCTCGTAATCGTTGCCCCTAGTTTTTTTTCCCCGTCGATCGGCCTAACTGGCACGGCAGTCGTCCCGAGCCGAGAGTCGGAGAATTCTTACCCTAATATGGGCGGCCAGCTTAGGCGTGGTGTCCGACGACCGGCTCGATCGTTGCCTATGCGAAAATGCAATCGGCTCGCGCTATCGCTCCAATTACGAAACGTTACGGCACCGGACCCTTATAAATTTCCGAGGAGCGCAACGCTCGCTTATTACCGCTCGGTGACATAACGGGATACCGGGATACTCCGGACTTCTATGAAGCAACCGCATCGTTGCAGTCGTTTACTTTGCCGGGCTCCTCGTCGCCGGATCCGTAGTGCCTAACCTGCCCATTATTGAACGCCATAAGCGGAGGGAGGCTCGCGCATAGCTTTCCAGGATTACCGCCGAGAGCCGTTCTCGGTACCGGTCAAATCGTAATTGCGCCTCGTAAAGCCTCCGCGCTCGGTACCCAATTTCTGCATTTAACGTCATCCGGGATTCCCGATGACGGTGATCCTGCCTCCGATCGCGGGATCACCGGGTGGACAAAATTCCGGGATCAAGTTTCGGAGACTTGGCGCCCGGACCTCGGGAATACACCAAGCCTAGGAGAGTCCGGACTAGGAGTTCTCTCTCGTTGCCAGGGAATCCAGGGTGTTTTGCGCGTACACGCTACAGGCGAAAGTGAAAGCGGCGCACTCGGTTACGTCGCCGCGCTGCCCACGTAGGCCGTAATCTCGGCGCGCGGTCGCGATATCGATAGATTATGGGTTCGCACGCCAGTCGCGGCCATAGCGGGCCCACCGGGGAAAGGCGGACGGATTCCAGGGACGCGCGGTCGCGTTTCCGTGTTTCCACCGCTCGGGCGTCGCCGGCGACTTCCGGTCGCCAGGCCTTCGAAAGCGCCGAGGAGCGGATTTCTCCGGGCCACCGGAGGCGGCTCAGAACACGACCCGGGGAGTGACCGGACGATTCGACGGTTCCAGGTTGTGTTCGCCTGCTTGGCAGTGGCGACGGCTCACGCCGGGATCGCGCACGGTCCCGCGATCGCGTACGGAGGCCACGGTGGCGGTCTGGGAGGATACGGAGGATACGGAGGATATGCAGGATACGCTGGCGGTCACGGAGGAGCCGGACTGAGCGGTGGCCTGGCCGCCGGCGCCGGCACCGCCGCGTCCCTCCAGGGAGGAGCCTCTAGCTTGGGATCCGGTGGATTGGGCGCCAGCTACGCCGCCGGAGCGGCCGCCGCCGCCGGTGCCGCGGGAGTTCAACAGATCGTCTCCGGAGGTGGGTATCTAACTCCGGTTCTCGGGTCGGGACCGCTTTCTAACACGGCGACGCGTCTCCAGGTGTGACCGGAGGTAGGTCCGACATCGGACCCGCCGAGGGACCCAAGGCCAACGTTGGACCCCAGTACGGACCCTCCGACCTCGTCGGACCCCAGGAGGGAGCCAAGTCCGTGGGAGGACCCCGTACCGGACCCGCCAGCCTCGTAGGACCCGCCGCTGGACCCTCCACCCTCGTTGGACCCTCCCAGGGAACCGCCACCCTCGTCGGACCCTCCCAGGCTACCGCTAACCTCGTAGGACCCAGCTACGGTGGAGTCGCCTTCTACGCTGGCTCCGGTGGAATCAACGGTGACGACGGTAGCTCTGGCTCCGCCGCCGCTGCCGCTCCCGGTGGTGAGTTCGACTCCGAGTTCCTCGGTGGCGTCGCTCGCAGAGGGTCCGGATTAACGGGTGGGTTTTCAGGATTCGGACTTGGAGGTGCCGGTCTGGGAGGCCCTGGTGCCATCGCCGTCATCGGCGGAGGCCCTGGCATCGCCGGTGGCATCGGCGGACACGACGCCGGAGTTGCTGTGATCAACGGACCGTCCGGCGCCATCCATGCCGGTCTCGGCTCCCACGGAGCGATCATCCCCGCCCCCATTCACGGCAAGTGGTAGACGATCCAAGACCCCCGCGATCTCGGCACGGCGACGGCGGCACACCCACCACGGTCTTCCCGGTCCGCTGAACCACCCTCACGCGCTCAACGTCTTCTTCCCGGAGCTTCGTATGCAACCCTCGGAGCATGGTAGCCCCCCTGAAGAACGGTCCGCCCTCCGCTCTCCGTCCCCGAACGCCGACCTGCCGGCCCGCCCCGGAGCGTCGCCGAGTCGGCCGGAGGAGCCCTCTCGGAGAGGGCGACCCCAGCCGCCCCCGGGGCCCTTAGTCAATTTCGAGCGCCTCCGACCCCGGCGCCGAGCCAGGGACCCGGCAGGCGGGGACCGAGTCGGGTGAGAGAGGACCCGGGACTCACCACCTCCGGCCGCACCCTCGACCGGATCGGGGGTCGGACCCCCCGGCCCTCCGCCGTTCTTCGATGTTGTTATTACTCACTGCCGCACTCAAGCATACATATTTTTATTATTACATTACTCCACGCGCATTGCATGTGTCTCCCTCTTGTCTTATGTACCCGTATCCGAACCGTACGGGGGTATATATACATGTATGTATCTACACGTATATATGTATACGCATATGTATATGCACTACTACTCGTACTACTACTCACTCTACTGTCGCTGCAGCTCCTTCGACCGGGCTCCGCTAGGGACGTCGATGCGCCCCGACGCGTCGCCACCGCGACGCCCAAGGACGCTATCTCGCCCCGAGCTGTTCGCGGCCGATCGCGCGTTTATACAGTGTTACGTTAGATGGAGACCGGAAGGACTTTGGTAGGTCGCAGTTCCGCGAGTGAATGAATGTACATAGATGGCGCGCCGCCGCCGGCCCCCGACCCCGCCCGCCCTCGTCATACCCTTTCTTTGCGATCACGACTAGCACCCCACCACCACCATAGATAGATACCACGTATTTATAGCGTTTATACATTTATACAATACTTTATATAAAAATAAAGCATCAGTATTTAAAACTCAGCTCTGTGTCTTGCCTTCGACCCCTGTCCTCCCTGGAACGATTTCAAGGATTTCCAGAATTTTTTCTATGGGAATTCGAGTTCGATACGCTCGACTTTTGTCGTCCTTTTTCGAGGGAAGTTCCTTCCACTGTCGCCTGGATTATTGCTTTATCTCGGGGAAATTGAGCCACTTCTTGCTGGGGATAGAAAGCGTAGTAATTATAGGGTGCTTGAAATGTTTTCCAAATTGCCGCCCCGGTGCAATTCTGCGAGCTAGGAAGCGATTGCTCTCGTAAGGAACATAAAGTCATAATTTTAGTAATCCCGGCTTTTCTCAACCTGAACGGAGAAATTTATGGTGGAGTGATGACTCTTGCCCCAGCTTGACTACTGGAACTCGGATCTTTAGGAGCTCCGAGGCGATTCGTTTACAGGCTAAAGATGAATGTCGAAAAAATGGGAAGATCGAGGGGAAAGACTGACATCGTTAATAATTCATGGGTGATTATTTGGAGTAGGCCAACCCACTGCTGGCAGATGCTGTCCGGCATTCATCTCCATCTACCCCTGACTCGAGAACTCGGCACCTTCTGGAGACTACCCTCGTGAAGAATAAAATCCAGTGAGACCGTTTCCGATTAAAATTCATAATCGGCACGTAATAAAATTTATCACCTAATTATTCTCAAATGTTTTCAGGACATTTTTCTACCGAGACTTCCACCGAGAGAATTCTGCAACTCCTACAGCCAAACGCCACGTGGATCGACCCAACGACCCCATTTGACAGAGGTACACGAATTACTGCCTATCGTTTCATTTCCCGAATTTCATATCGAGGAGGAAGGATATTTTTTTGGAAAACGCCAGAGGCTGGATCCTTCTAACGAGTTTCCAAAGTTCTCCTGGACCTGTTGCACGTCCCCCAAGAACTCGAATGAAGTTAACTAACGCTCGTCAGTCCCCTCGGCTCGTTAAAACTTTAGCAGGAAGAACTCCCCCAATTTCATTCCCTTGTACCTCTCGTGCCCACCCTTCCGAGTCCGTTCTTCGGCATTGTTTTAATAAATTCGATCCCAATTGCAGGAGAGACTCCCACCAGAGAAATTCACGGGGCAACGGGAGAAGAAGCGTCGCCAAAAATGGGACAGCCCGAACAATCCTGGATGCAGTTTTCGAAAATACAGCTCGATATCCAGGTACGAAAGGGAAAACGACAGAATCTGGAGCATCGAGAGTCATACACGAGACTTCTTTCATGGTGGGGAGGTAGGACGAGTTCCCCTTGTGGGAAGCTTGCGATCGTTCATCCGCGATTCACGATGGGATCGATGCGAGCTCACGATTTTCTCTTTTTCCAGGTAACCAGTCTTTCAGAGCCTACCCTGAAAGGACTCGCAATTCATCATTTACCTCGCGTCGTGTGCAGATTCCCAGCGGTGATAATTCCTCTTCCTAACCGTGGCGCGGCGAGGGTTTCTTTCTCCCGACAGTTGCGTCTTTGTGCCACTGGGGTAAAAAGGCTTTAAATCTTTTCCGGACTCGCGGGTGCACTAAGGCCGAGGCTTTTTCCCCCAGATGGCAAAACCAGGCGTAAAATAAAAGCGGCGGATTAAGCCGGAGATCCGGCCGTGCAGTTATTGCACGCTTGGCTCTGACTCTGCGTCCTCCGGTTTCCGGCACGGGTACGTACCGACGCCGGTACCGGTGCCATCCTCGTTTCAATTTCCAGCCAGGGCCAGGCGCCTTTACCTACGCGCCTTTATGCTCTCAAAGGAAATGCCGCGAAATTAGTCCGCGTCTCCCGGCCTCCCGTTTCAGGGAGCTTTTCTAAGCTTTCCCCGCAAGAAGTCCACGCCCGTCGAATTTTCCGGGCTGAAGATCGAAACCCGAGTTCGCCCTTTGCGCCGATGAAGTCGTTTACTTTAAGGCCGCGTTTGAATCCTGAAGTGTAAAGTACGCGTACCCTCTTTGCGGAACCGGGGCGAAAACGCTCGCGAGACTGAAAAAAGTAAGCTTTTTTCGAGATATTTTAAGAGGCAGCGGTCGTATAAATTGTAATAACATATTTTAACGTAAGTCACAATTGTAACGTTGCTTGTTAATTATATGTCGGTCGAAATTGTAACGTTACCTGTTAATTGTGCCCATAATTATGAAAGTGGTCTAAGTCATATATTTCTTGTTATGAGATATTTCATGAATTGCATTTGAATAAATTAAAAAATATTTTTATATTATGCAATTATATATATTATTCACATAATATGTACGTTGTCATTAATTTACTTGAACCGCTATCGGCGGACATAGTGGTAAAATATATAAATTATTTTTCCGCCAATAATTAGTTCGGAAGAGCCCAACTGAATTAATGCACTTTAAAAATAGAACAAAATGATTTCCATGTATTGTTAGGTAGACCGGAAAGTATTGTCGTTTCTGTTACCGTTTGATTGTCATTTGTCGGCTTATCGTGTAGTTCAAAAACGCGCCAAAGAGGGCCACGTGCCATTTTAAGGTTATGCTTATATAATTTCTTTAAATTTTTGACTTAGACCACTTTCATAATTAACACTAAATGAATTCCATATAATGTTGAAATTACAACCACTCTCTAATGGTGAATTTTTGACAATATCGTAGAAATGACAGTGAATTAATTTAGCTTAAGATAATGTGGGGTGAATTACCTGATAAACTCATTTATTTTTAATTTGGACTCAGACCACTTTCATAATTATGGGCTCAATTATATATCCGTTGCCCCGTAAATTGTTCGCCTCGATACGTCGCATTGTTAAAATGGATCACGGCAATGTAGGTACATATGTCGAAAGTTTGCCTTAATGAATTACGTAGGTTCGGAGGTTTTGCGACTTTTTCCGAGAGGTTAACAAAATCTATGCTTTCCATCACCGCGGTTAGGCTTACGTCAGGGTACATTTTTTCCGCGACGCGGCTGCAGTTGCCCAACGAAGTGTGGGAACGTCATTTTGTACCTACTCCTTTTTTTTCGGGGTAATTAAAGGTGGAGAAACCCGTGAAAGACGTGAAAAGAGCATAACCGCGATCGATCGCCCTCGTTTCTACGGAGCGCTTTATACAGTTGGCCCTGCTCCGTAATTACAATTCCTCGCCTTTCGAACGTCTCTTGATCGGTGGCTCCCTCTCGACCAGCTCGCGTCAACTTAAAATGCGTTCCGAATGCTTTCTGCAGCGAGATCGCGATCTACACAGGGCAACTCATTTTTTTTCTAGCTCGATCAATAACTTCAAAGCATCATTTGTTCCTTGTCGTACTATTTGGTATCGTTTCTGCAAACCTAGGTACACTACTTGCATCCACGAATGATTAAAATTCCGACTGTGAAACCATTATTAACAAACTATCGGAATTCCACGCAATAAATCCGTAACGGCGAAAGAGCATTACGAATCTATTTTGCGACAAAGGTCGAACTTCTCTATCGTTTTATCCTAATGTGATCTTTATCAGGAAATACGCCCCTGCGGTTGACCTTGCATTCACGGAAGTAATTACAGTACATTTCACGTGCACTATCAGCATATCGACCGAAATAACAGCAGTTCGCTAATTCCTTTTACGAATGATATACGTCCAGGTTTCCTACCGAGTTACGCGAAAATACGTTTCAATCGAGAAACCGGCTTTGATCTCGCGGTACAAATAAATCACCGGTTTACTAAAACATGAAATGATTTAAGCGCCCGAGCTTGCGGATATTTAAATATTCTGATTAAGCCGGAGAAACGAGAAATCCTCGGCGCTCGTTGAACGATAAGCCCGACAACCAGATAAACCCCTGTTTGACGTTCCGTACTTTTAAATTATCGCTTTCAAAAAGCCGGCGTAACGTTCCCTGGCATAAATCACAAATCTTATGAATCTGCACCCTTTCCTGCAGCGGAGGGAATGCCGACAAAATGGCCACCGCTGACAAGGTATTGTTACGGCTCGAACTATTTACCGCGACCTTAAATATCCTTTTGTCCCTCCCGCCTTCGGATAATCGGGACAATGTCCACCTATCAGGGAACGACCTCTTCCAAGGCGTGGCCCTTTCACCGTACGGGGGTGGCGTTCGTGGAATTTTTTTTCCCAACTGAAACCTCTGACACTGTCTTTTACGGCCAAGGTCGGTCCGTCCATAGACACACTTTCGCGGTTACGTTCGATGCTCTTGTCAAGCCTTTCGCCACTTCCGCCTTGGAACTAACTCCTGGCAAAAGACCCCCGGCATTTTTCGTCGCCGCATAATTGAGATTTCACGGCGCGATCTGGCGTACCTGGATGCTGTTACACGTAGATCTTTCGTTGCCGAGAATCTCGTTAAGGTGAAGTGAAACCCCCTTCAAATCAGTCGATTCGAATACAACACTTTTTTTTAAGGGTATTAGACCAAACTGTCCGAAACTTTGGCACATCACTCCTGATCATCTAAGAATTGTCCTGACACATTCAAACTTTGGATTTTTCAAACAAATTTTTTTTACTCGGCCTAGACCAGAAGCAAAATGGCGTCGAGCTCTGATATTTCAATCAATATACAATTATTGAAGGATCTGATATGAGAAACGAAAGGGTCAGGACAATTTTACGACAATTTATAACACTCTGGTAATCGATAAACTCGCATTTGAATGGGATAAAGGCAAAAAAAGTGTTGTATGCGCTTCTATGCCAAAACGATGGTAATACGAGGTCTTGGAGTGAAAATTTAATTGACTTGGAAATCACAGATGGCGCAGGAGGTACCACTGCAGTCAATTAGGGCCCCAGAAAGCATGAATCCAGAGGATTTCTGGAGTTTTACTTAGATTTCTTTATAATTATTATACGAAAACGACAGGTGGAGTATGCCATTTGGGACAATACCCAATATAATTCGATACAGCTGTCAATGTAAAAACGAACGTCGGCAACGTAGGCATTGAGAAAAATCTTCTTTATCGACGTTGATCAAGTTCCTCGACGTGTTTCACTTCACCTTAAGAGGACCCTGAAAATCTGACTATTTTCCTCGCGTCCGCTCGACAGCCTCTCCGAAAACAAGGAGGTCACTGATAATTCCAGCAGGTCTTCCTCTCTGATATTTCTCTTATCGTGTCCTTCCACCGAGCGAATTTTCACGTGTCATCCGCAGGTGTGAGGGAATTTCATTGCGGTCGTACGGTGGAATTCGTTAATAGGGAGCATGGACTTTTCTTTTTAAATGCAGCTCTCACGGGTGGAGCATCGGAATTGCATCTGCACCGGTAAACAATGACTCTAAATGTCAGTCCCACCATTACCCACGGATCACGTCTGATTCCTGGTCCCTCCTGCTCCCTTCGGCGGATTAACTCGGAGTACGAATCTAAACACAGGGGTACGTGCACCTCGATCACCGATGGCAACGCTTTGCCACGTTTATAAGACCTGGAACACACCCGAAGGTTCTTCAGGGAACTGGATCGCAAGTCTTTCGCAACTTTAAAGGTCGAGTTCGACGCTGAACTTCGTACCATCCTTACGCTGCTGAGAACCATCGCCCGTTCCAAGGAGCAATCGTGATCCCGTCGATGAGAGTGAAAATCGAGCGGAAGCATCGTGAGAATTATCCACGGTGAAAACTGAAAGGTCCTGACAAAAGGTGGACGAAAATGCGCCAGGCACTTCGAGTGAAAAGATAAATTATATCATAGGTGGCCGCTTTTTGGAAATGACGTCTAGAAAACTGTTGGGCAAGGGAGAGTAGACCGCACGGTGAAATCGGCGGCAAAAAGACATTTTTTTCCCGGCCTCTATACATCGCCGATACGCTGAAAATCCTGCCAACCTTTACGACCTTCCTTATTATGTACAAAATGTAGAGGAATGTAGTATTATGCTCTGAAGGCGCTCCCAGATTTTTTTTTCGGATTCTCTTTTTCATTAAGCGGCATTTTCTCTTCGTTATTCGACTTTAGTGTTTTCCCGAGTAATAAGTCACCGTTCTTCCGCGTACGTAAAACTGGCCATTGAATCCAAGATTTCAGGTTACGCCACTGAGTACACTGCATTACTCTAAATTATACTAAGTCTTGCGGTAACAATTCGTTACGCGTGCCCCGATTGCGTTTGAACGCCACTTTCGACATGTGCTGTAAGTGATACTCACGTTACTTTGACATTACATCAACTGTAATTATCCCCCGAAGTACCTTATTTCTTCTCGACGTCTCGGCTGGGTAATTATCCTCGACTTTTCGTGGATTATTATTGTAGACGGGCGAGGTGGCGCAAGGAAATATTTCGGAAAAAGAATTATTCCCGGCGGTAAAGAGCTTTAAGGGTACTCGAAGAAGGCGGGGTGCAAGGAAGTCGTAAGCCATAATTCTAAAGGTCGAGTTCATTCCGTAACTGGGTACCAACGTTTCCCGGAAATGAACTTACGATGCTGAAAACGCGCCCTGTAAAATTTACTGGGAGATCGTTGCCCCGACTGGGGAATACAATTAAGGAAAAAGCGCCGAGAGGAAGGAAACGTCCAAAAGCTTCTTTCTCGAAAGCTGCACTCGAGTAACACTTTCGTGCATCGTTCGAGCTGCCTAATTTTAATCCTCGATCCTGGACCGAGGAATTAAGGCGGCCGGTCGAGACTTACCGGACTGCTGAAAGACCAAAATTGAGAAACAAGCATTGATGGATGAATCATATTTTTCCGATAACGTCAGGTGGGGTAAGGCACCAACGATCATGGGCAACAAAAAGCGAACAGTGAGCCGTAACGTATAAGCTGAGGCAACGTAAATCACGTAGGCCGACTACGCAAGTACATTATGTGGATTCCTACGGTATTTACTTAGGGACTTTCGATTCAATTTAAAAACCATAAAGCAACCTCTGTTCCAATGGAACTATACATCTGGAACGTGTCATGAAACCTCGGAAACCGTAATTTATTATTTTTAATGAATACGGGGATCGGGATAAAAAAAAAAGTTCTTTAATTTCTGCATCGTGCATTGGATGGTATGGGCACTCCGTAACTTTAAAATCGGACTCAAAAAGCTTGATTCTAATAAAATTTTTCCAGCTTGCGGGTATTATGTCATCCCCGGAATAATGTCGTATAAAAATCTTGCGTTAAGAGGTATGTTACCGTGCTAAACAGCGCATTAAAGTGTAACGCCGATTATGTGCATATAAGGCCGCGCGGTTGACGGTGTCAAGGAACGGTTTTCTCAAATTGGTGTTTAACTGTAACGACCGCGTAATGGCGGGAGCGACCTTAGAAGAATAATTTCGTAGCTGAAAGCAGTGTTATTTTTAACACCAAAATCGTAACGGCCGGCACGACTCGATTTAGCACCTTTCACATTTTTCAGCACGCAGAAATGCGGTAGTCGATTGCAAGCGTATCGCTTAATGCTTTAGGAATGGCTTACGCATTCCAGGCGTACGATTTTAGTGCCGACGCGAACCCCCTTTCGAATATCGCCAAGAGAAAAAGAAATCTGGATCGAGCCAATTTCTCGCAAATCACCGCCTGCGTTTCTGCGTCGATCGACAGGAGCACCACCGAAATGTCGAGGGAAACCACCGCCCTCTCCTGCACTCCACCCCCACCTTCTTCCACGTTTCTTTGCGGTTAAATATCAAACCGCGAGCACTTTTTCCGTGAGCATAATATCCCCGGTATGCAGATACCAAAATGTTTCGCAATCACCGCATAAAAAAAAAAGAAAATCGACCATGCATTGCTCAAAAAAGTGCAAAATTCCAGGGTACAGCGTTGGCCGTAAACTCCATTTTCGGAAAAGACCCCACGTGCGTGGATCGAAAAAAAACCGAGGGTACTTTCCGCAAGAATCGGAGGAAAAACCGACAGCAGAAGATAATGCCAATAATTTTCTCGGAGCGCCATTTTTCCTAACAAGCGATCTGACGACCTTCCTCCTAACCTCCGGGGAAAAATCCCCCTCGTTTCCAGGCAAGATGGAATTGCCACACCGAGGGGTACCGCCGAAGTATCGAGAAAAAGACATTTAGTCGGTACCACCCACCGCTCCCTCCCACCGCGGGATTTCGCGACATTCCTCCAGGTTTTCGCGCGTGGTGAGGTGTAAGAGCGTTTTTTCCCGACGAAGGTCGCGCGTGCGGTAAGGACCGAAGTCCCTGTGGTGGGTGTGGCGGGTGTGACCTTCTTGCACAATGGGTGAGCCTCCCATCGGGAGGTATGACTCGAAGGGACCAGAGGGGGCGCGGTCTTTCTTGCCGCCGGAATCGTATATAAGCTTGGGTGGAGGCGTCGTGGCCACACTCACCCATCAACAGTGAACAACATGAAGTCCTTCGTAAGTAGTACGGTAGTACAGTGTGAACGCGTTACTTTGCCTCGTGACCTCCTGGCCCTAGTCGCCGTGACCGCAGCGCCTCCACCAGGACTCGGATTTCGAGTCCTCTAAGTGCGGGAATTTCGAATCCCTCCGACCAAAAAATCCAAAGTTTCCTCTCACGTGAACCGCGAGACAGTGCAGGAACTCCGGATCTAGCTCGAAAGTCTTTAGGAGACCTGGTGAAAGATCCAGAGTCCGAAAATTCCCGGGTTCCTAGAGTCACGCCGAATACTTACCCTGTGTTCGCAGATCGCAATCGCAGCTTTGCTCGTCGTCGCAGCAGCGGCTCCCCGGGAGAGGCGCGACGTGTACGGCCACGGATACGGTGGATACGGTGGCCATGGGGCGTACTATGGTGGATACCACGGGGTCGCCCTGGCCGGTCCAGCTCTGGGCCATGCCAGTCTCGCAGGACCCCACGTAGGAGCGGCCGGACTCGCCGGACCGGCTACCGGGCCGGCCCATCTTTCCGGGGCCGTAGCCGGACCCGTTCACGTTTCCGGCGCCGTTGCCGGTCCCGCCGTCGTGACCGCTTCCGTCGCCGGTCCCGCTCACGTCGAAGGATACGACGGCCATGACGGTGGATACGGAGGCGCCTACTACGGTGGATACTATGGCGGCCCTGCGTACTACGGTGGTGAGTTTCGCCATCTGCAAGCAAAAAAAAGTAGATCGCTCGTACCCTTCTTTTTGCCACTTTCGAACCGTGGAAAGCGAGATGAATGGGATGGCGTAACGGAGCATTCTCTGCGGCGGGAAAAAATTAATCGAGTCGCGTATCGATAAGCAATGCCGTGGAAAAAAGAAATAAGCGTGGCCGGAATTTGCGTCGATGGAACGAGGAAATGAGAGAATTGTCGCGTTCCAGGATACGGTGGACCCGGAGCCCATGGACTGGTCGCCGCTGGATATGGCTATGGTGGCCATGGAGGACACGGAGTGGTCCTCGCCGGTCCCGAATCTCACGGAGCCGTTGTCGCTGGACCGCACTCCGGCAGTGCCGCAGTTTCCGGCCCTCACTCTGGATCCGCCGTGATCGCCGGACCCTCCGGCAAGATCACCACGCACGGTGCCGGATACGGCGCGGCCATCCATGCCGGCCACGGCCACTGGTAAATGGTCTAAACCGACTCGAAGGAAACGACGCCATTACCTCCAAGCGACACTGCCAAATTGAGCGAAGAGCTGCCAAAATCGGCGACGACTCCCCTCCTCGCACCACCCCGAGAGATTATTAATGTTCGCATTGCACACAGAGATACTCAACATCTCGACTACTTCTATGTACATATCACGTTGAACTTTGTATGCGCGAAATAAATGCAAGTTTTTTTCCACGTGAGATCAGTGGTTTTGGATGACACCCGAGACGTCGAATCGACTCGGGATTTTGAATAAGAAATATCCAGGAGAAAAACTGATGATAAAATTAGAAAATTCACGGGGGAAACCGGGATAATCTTATTGTTTATGAACGAAAGCTCGGCTTTTGCTTCGAAGTCGCCGTGCCGCCTTCGTAACGAGGAAATTTATCGGGAAAAAATGTAAAGCAATGCACGGTAGAGAGTATGACTCGGTGATGACGAGGATCTGATTCATCGACCATCGATGGACCTCTTTAACTATCGCAGGGATCGTATCTACATGACGCGGCCTCGTAATAATTTAATTTATCGTCAACAAATGGAATTTCTCCGCGTGGAGGCGAGTTCGTCGACGCAGATGCATCCCTCCGACGTGGGAACCGCGACTTCTAGAACGGATGGAGTTGCCGTGCACTCCCATGTTGCAGGGTGCACCTCGTCGAACCAATCAGGCGCATAATCAATTTTCCAGCGGGACGCTGATTACTAAATGGGAGATGGATCGTAAAGTCGACTCTTAGTGACTCTTTGTTCTACATCCTGTGGGGTAATTGCCGACTGGTCGGTTAGAACCAACCGAGTCGATAGACTCGTACATCTTGCTTAGAGAACTCGGTTGCAATTGCACTTACGGAGAAACGCGCAAAGGGTAAGGTCGTCGGGGTCCTGGCTTGCAAAAATGGCGTCCGTGTTCATTGCTAGATCATTACTAACTCTTTATTATATCCTCAGGGCACGTCATCGGGAAAGTCAACACATAATTTTGTCTCGACGATGATGGTGAAATTCCAGATAGCGTGATCATTTGCGAAATCGAGAAATAAGTGAAATACCATTAACAAGATATTCCGAGATCCTAAATATCAGACGAGCGTCGATTCGAAATTAATCGATAATGGGTCAAACGATGCGAATTATCCGATCTGGAAGTTCATTGAGAAATTCCTCCTGCACTTGTCTTAAATCAGTGAGGAAGGTCGGCAGGCCGATTTGCCAGTGTTAGGATTAATGCATCGATCGACCTCGAGATCGTCGCTAAACGGGTCGAACGTAAAACCGATTAATAAAATTCCAAGGGAAACTTCCCAAGGAATTCTCCGAGGGATTCCTGACGGCCGCCATCCTGCTCCCAGGACGCATACTTGCGGTCGATCGGGATAGCCGATCGGTCTCTCCGCTCCTAGAAAGAGTACAAGGATACTTTCCACTTCCTACGCAATTTAACACTCAATTGTCCTCAAAGGACACCGAGATTAGACTCGGTCGCACGAAAGAACCCCGCCTGGAACTGCCTTACTTTATCATAGACGCAATTTGCGTGGTAGATCGACTTCTGCGTAATCGCGAGCTCCCGTTTCTGCAACCTGAGCCCGGTACCGTGAAATTAAACGTTAGATCAATTGCGCGACCCGGAGGGCAAATCACCGTTTGCGGTCAGATTTGACTCCTACGCGTATCCGGATAAAAAGGGGTCTAGGAGCAATGAAACGATTGAAAGGAGGAAAAAAAAAACAATGGCGACTCGTACATTTTCGTTGAGTTCCCGATAATTGCTGGTCGTTCGTCCGAGCCTCGATTTCACCCACCATCCTCTGTTCCAAACGACGAAACACGGAACGAACGATATACGTGAATACAGAAATTGCTGGGCGGATTTTATTACGAATATAAAACTTTTAACTTTCCCAGACGCAGGGAATAACTCGGTCCATACAAATACCCCTGAGTAATGGTATTCGATTACGCGTCATATCTATTCGCGCCGCCAGAAAATTCAAATCGGTGAAACAAGTACACGTGGGTTTATTAAAGCATATTTTACGTTTATTGTTTCGAGTCTCTGGACTTCCTACATCGTGCAACGCCCACGAGTTCTCCTTTATTAAAGACGATAATTTGGCAGAATTTTTAGAGGAAATAATTTTTCTTGCGTGCTCAAATATTTAGTAATTGCCGGAAATTGCAAATTAACTATCGAGGCTTAAAACTTAATCCTCGATTATATCGATTGATAGATTCGTTGGTCGCCGAGAGCTTCGATTGGAGTCGTCTCGGTTCACTTTGGGTGGAATTCACGTGCGTGATCAATTTCTGGGTAACTAGGAGAGATCTTATTGCTTAACTAGGGGCTTTTACCGTGAAATGAAGTTCTAAGTGGAATACCGCTTAACGGAAAAGTTGACCGATTTGCGTTTCGAGCGTCGACCCTGTGAACTATCCGAACTTAAACGAAACTTAATTTGAAACTTGAGTTAATGGAACGGGAATTGAACTTCAGAGGTGCTTGACGAGGTCTAATGGTTTGATAGAAAGGTAGTCCCTCGCGCGAGGTGGGCGCGTAAAAAGGGAAGGGGGAACGGGCTTTTCGCGAGGTTAATTAAGTAAAAGGCAGAAGAGCAAGGTCTTTGATATTTGTTGAAAATATTTTATGACGTCGTTAGTAATATAATTACGAGCCGGGAAAAGAGGGGATCGCATCTCGGGAGGATTTTTTCCCCGGGAAATGTTGTTCCTCGTTAACGCGAACATACGGTGGGACGCGTGACGCGTCGAAAGTAAGTGGGGGAGTATGCAAATTTCGCAATTAATTTAAATAGATATAAAATCATGGCCATAGGGGGGCGCGACATCGCGGCAGGTAATCGTAAACCGGCGGTTTATCGATGCAAATTACATACTCAATAAACGTAATTGTTAGCGAAACAATTGGTGGCCGGTTTCATTGTACATCGATGTTACGGCCGAACCGGCCCGACTACCGGTACGCGCACTGTAACAGGTACAATCGATTTTTGCCACGTACAGCCGGTCCGCTACCGTGTGTGGCCACGACATTATTGCACCGACGGCATAAATCCTTTTCGCTCTTTGTGACACATTTACGAGCGAGCCGCGTGGCCGCCGAGCAGGAACCGAGAGGTTACGAGGTGCCGCGAAAAAATGGGTTGGGTCATTTTTTCACCGACATCGTCGGACACGGATGAAGACATCGATAGGGAGTGGTCCATACGGAGATAGGTCGGGCACTGCGTACGGCGTGCCACGCAAGGCGCGCAATGCCGTTAAGGGTACTTTTATTCCGTGCGTACGTAAAAGTCATGCCACTCGGGGCACGCGATAAACAAGTACAATATATCGGTACGGACGGTAACCCCGATCCTTCGAGCGCGATAAAAATGACGACGATTAAAGAAGAAAACATGTGCATTCTTTCCTTGGAAAGTGTGCCATTAATTGATAACGATAGGTCATGCGTGTAAGGGGTCATACTTGGAGTGGGAATAACCGCGGCCATGGGGCGCAGGATGTGGGAGCGTAAGCTCGAGGGAAAAAGCTTCGTAAAACCGGGAGTACGTGAAAGTAGACTTTCAAGGACCCTGAAATTTATTTAGAATTACGGTACTATATTTTTTATCCTTACGATTTTCCATGGAGAACCATATAATGTGGTCTTCGCAAGTGGGTGGGGCAAACGGGGGGTTAGAATTTTCAAAATTCAACTTTGTGTTAATGGATCGCTAATATTTCGCCCTGATGTGTGATTTTACAATTCGAGGGATGAAATTCCTGGGCAAAGCCTTTCCGGTGCAACACGCGAGGCAGGGAAGGAAACCGTGAGGTTGCAGCGGACAAAGTTCATACCGAGTGGGAGATGGGGTTCAGAGCGTGCGTTTCTACGCGAGGTGCGAAGTTAGCAACGCGAGGCGTGACATTTGCAACAGGCGACATGTGGCGCTCGATAAGAAATTGCAGCGAGCAGCGTGCATGCGGTACGGGACGTGCAGCATGCAGGGCCAGGCGTGAAACGTGCCGAGTGCAGAGTGCATATCATCCATAGCCTCGGAGAAATCGACCACGAATTATCGAGGAAAATAGAGACTGCCGGTGGGTGCAATCGGTGGGACGGAAAGGTCGGAAGTACAGATGCAGCCGGGTTGCAATTGGAGGCGACCGCTACTGCATCTGGTTGCAGCGCTCCGCGACCTCCTGCAACAGAAAGATCGGACGCGCGATCAAAAACGCAAAAATTCCTCCTCGTCAACCGTTAATTTTTAATTCCTCCCTAATTTAATTCCTTCCCGTTCCATTTAAATTCCTGGCTATCCGTGTACCTTTATTTAATCGAGCCAAATAATTCAACGGAGATCCGAATAACTGCAGAGTGGATTTTGCATAATTCATTGATTGCCCCGTACTGCACGAATTTGGGCGCCCCACCGATTGGCCCGTCTGTAATCGAGCGGTCTATTATAAAAATTAAATATATATTTTCGAAATTTCCAATCACCATATCGCTCGTTGCCCTACCTGCGATCGATGGTACCGCAACTTCGAGATGCCCCGAGGATGGAATTGCCCCAAATTTGGATCTTCTTCCATTATGAACCACTTCGAGGGGTCATCGCGCGATGCGTTCGTCTTCCGGCGTTAACGTCCGGTAACTTCTTACGCTGCCGCAAGTGCAATGCCAACTGCAGTCGGCCGCGCTGCTCGCTCCCGAATTCGACATCGCGCGACCACTCGGACATACGTGGCATCGTATGTGGGACCAAACGAAGCTTTTATACTTGCGGCTGCACTCCACGTGGGCCGAGTTGCATGCCAGCGGGATAAGAAGGGCGGGGCGGCGCACCCGGCAGTTGCAACGTCACCAAAGAATTCGATCACGTTGAAAACGCAGGGGCTGATGCAATATGGGGCCTAAGTTGACAAAGCCCTCGCTCCCTAGGAAGGGCTCCACTAGATGTGGATCGAAAGCCTCTTCTTCCTGTATTTTAAAACCACTAAGAAGAGAGACGGTCGGAAATGCGTATCCCCATCAGATTCGGGAATTTCGAACCTATCGAAGCAATTCCATTAACGGGACACCTGTTAATATGGCGGAGGGAGGTTGACGAAAATGCAATTGCAGTTCGAGGAGACGTCCAAAAGGACTCAGACAACCGGGAAATGGTCCTAGATTAGGAAAGGATTACTATAATAGAATAATTCCGAGACGGCAACAATTACAACCCGGTGCTAATTAGAAGCAGAGGATCGATCGCAGGGAGGAAAATGCAATAAGCCCCTAATTAAGCCGTGTACTGGCGCACATGCATTCCAAACATAACTGAGATGCATTCCGCATCCACGAATGTCATCGACGACGTCGTCGAGACGGAAACGGCGAGATGGGAGAAACAGCCTGATCTCTCGATGCAGTCGCTCAATTACTTCCTCAAGTGTGGAAAAATTGCCCCGATCGGCCGCGATATTTATATGCGCAATTTTCTTGCATTTAATTCCCATTAGAGGGATTATCCGAACGTTTCATTCGGCCCGATGCTTCGAATTTATGCACGTAATTCCCGTACGAATGGAATTCATAAATTGTACGTCGATGTAGAAATTTCGTTGCAGCAATTTTCAGTCGGTATCAATGATGAAATTCTCGTTAGAGTTGAAATTAATAATATGGAAGGCAGCTCCGGTCGTAATGCAACCGTGGTCAATTGATGCAGCGGGGAGCAATTTTCCATGAATTTTCCGTGATTTCGACCCATCCGTCGGTCGTCGATGAACTCCGATAATTCGACTACATAACGATCCAAAATCAAAACCCAAAATCCGAAAAGCGGAGCACGTTTATTCCCTGATAAAGGAACTGCAGCTTCCCCCCCGGAATTTCTGCCTCGTTCCGCGGTCCTTGTCTCGTGCACTGTCCTCGTTGTGAATAACATTGTCAGCCATGAATAATTTTATGCCATAAGTAACTATGTAACGTTCAGCCCATTAATGCGAGCTTTTGTCTGGAAACAAATTGCGCCCGGTAAGGAAAATTTATTTGCCGGAAGAATGAAATAATATACCTGAAACGCGATCGATCGGTGACCGGTTTAATTAACGTCAGAAGACGCGGCTCTTCCGATGGGGAGATATATTTACCGTAATCACCTGATTAGAGGGGGTACTCATTTCCAAGACGAGTCGGGTCTCGTTTATATTAAATTTGCGCCCTTCGAAGCGCGTCTAATATATCAATGTTAAATTTTTCCGCATAACGAAGCGGCAGTTTCTTTCAATTACCGCGGGACGTCCGCGCGACATTGTCGCGTCAAGGTACGAAATGATATGCACGAAAGTGAGCAAAGAAGTACACGGCGATCCGGTATAATTGACTCGCGGGTAATTGATCCATTAACAGACCTCGTGCCTATTGTGCCGCGCCGGGACAATGGGACGTCATTGTTTCGACGCTCTCGGTGTGGCACGCGTGTGGGCACGCTTTCCTAACCTTAAAGTTATCTAACGTAACTTCGCGGAGTCCAATGATCCAGCAACACTCGTGTCAAAGACGCTCGCATGTTTCTCCGGGCCCTCGAATCCTCCGGAAGTCTCTTGTCTAATTTCCAAACCTCTGCTGACCCGCGACGTCGGAAGCGAAAAATTTCTGGCGAAACGGAGAAAGGATTAATTTACGTTTCTTCAAATGACGCGCTCGGGGGAGAAAGAGGGTGACCGATATCATCACACTCCGGTGAATAATTTTAATTGCACGGCGCGACTCTTTGACGGGGTTAAGAATCGTTATTACCTTCTATAAGCGGGGGTCAAAAAGAGTTTCCAAACGTGGGAAACATCGTTAACCCATTATTCGATTAAATCGTCTACTTTAAGTTAAACGCCAAAATGGGTGGTCGGCATTTCCATCCCGTGGCGAGTAATTCCATTTTCCTGGCGAGACCCTTTGATGTCACCGAGAGTAATTATCCCCATGTACAAAACACGACCGACGAAAGTCAAGAACGAATCCACCTCTCGCGACGAACTTCTAAACGCTTCCACCCCCGCCCCTCGTGGCCCTCGAAATCCTATCCGCCATTGTAATCTGCCAGAATCGCCAATAAAACCGAAATCCCTCCTCGACATTTAATTTTCCTCCTCCCCGATTCTCGGATCAAAATCCATAACCTCACGTCCGGTCTGCGGTCGCTGTTTAACCGTATAAATAAATTCGATTTATCATCCCTGCCGTCCGCATCGACGTTCACGCGAAACGCATTAAACGTGCGTATTAATTTTTGGTACGCGACCGTTCATAAGTCATGTCGCGAATTTAGGGGTAAACGCGAAGTTCCACCCTGGGAACGCGTCTCGTCGACGAGGAAGAGAAGTAGCGTAATCGGAGCGAGCTAAAAATCCAGCCTCGTCCTCGCCGCAAACATGGCCGCCCCGGGTACGACGTCGACCCGCCATGCGCGACGACCACCAAGTACGGAGTCCTGGACAAACGCGGCCGTGTCGCCTCGACATTCTTAAAGACGTATTTTTGAAAAGGCTCAGGATCCGGGACCCCGTGACCCGCGTCTCGGTGTCGCGTACCACGAGCGCGCCGGTAACTCAAACGTGGTCGCTGATAAGCCTACGGAGTGTCGGTGAGAGAATGTTCGGCGTGTCCTGCCCCGCCCTGCAAGATCGGGCCCGGTGGTGCGCCTTGGAGGAAAGCTCCTATAAAAGCTGAGGACTGCCGGCAAAGCGTCACATCACACCCGGCAACCTGCACCGACTAGACTCACCGAAGCCACATCCACCCGATCCACTCGCTCGCCATGTACACCCTGGTAGTCCTCGTAGCAGCCCTGTCGGTGGCGGCAGCGGCACCTTCCGGTTACTGGGGCGGCGCCGCCCTGGCGGGTCCCGCACTCGGCCCGGCCGCCCTGGCCGGCCCCTCGGTGGGCCCTGCGTCTCTGGCCGGTCCGGTTCGCGGACCCGCTAGGCTTTCCGGCGCCGTCGACGGAGGAGCAGTCGTCACGGGAGCCGTCGCCGGTCCCTCCGTCGTCTCCGGCAGCGTCGCCGGACCGGCCGCCGTTGACGGAGGCTGGGGACCGGCCGCCGCTTGGGGAGTCGCGCCCGCCTGGGGTGGTGCTCCCGCCTGGGGTGGTGCTCCCGCCTACGGATACGGTGAGTGTCTTCGAGATTGTTATTTTTCCCTTTTTACTAATTTTCCATATTTTTACTCATTTTACTAATTTTGGCAATTTTTACTCATTTCGTTTCTTGTAATTCATTTCTGGAACCCTTCGGGAGATCTCGCTCCTAGAACTACGGAGTACATTTACCTATCTTTTTCTCCGTCAATTCGAATCGCCACTAATGGGGTCCGGGCACAAATCAAACTCCGCCCGCAATTGCGGCAGACCTTCGCATTTATCTCGATCACCCTACGCTACCGCACATAATACGCAATAATTCTCGCGTCGAGATACATATGGGTCACTCCTCCGCCCTGTATTTACGGCCACCATAAATATACCGCTAGCAACCCGGGACAATTCCAACGATTAGCAATCGGTGGTAATGAAAAAGGAACGCTCGCATTTATCCCCCGGGAAAAATTCTCACCTTTGCCTCGGTCCCCTTTATCGTGAATCGGTCATTCCGAGATCAATCGGCTTTCGCGATCACCTGCGACTGCGGGAGTTCGTTGGAGAAAAAGCTCGGAAAAGAATCATCCCACGACCTGACACCGCGATCCAGGCATTCCTCTCGATCGCGATCACCCCACGCCACCTCTCATGGTTGGCAATAATTCTCAGCTCGAGTTCCTTATAGGCCGCCTCTGTCGCCGGTATTTACGATCGGCCGTCACGGGCGCGACACGGCCATCGGATGAAAATCATTCCGATTCAATGATCGTCGAGCCTATTGCGCGGTTCATAACCTCAGAAATTAGCCCCGGGGCTCGCCCAACCCACGATCGCCCCATTGCGAGGGAGAACAGCCGAGAATGGCGCCCATTCCGTCAGAGGCAGCTTATCGGGCCCGGTATTTATCGGCCGGTGTTAGAAGGAAGAATTACTCTCGGATCATTAGAATCGACCGGTCGAAGTCACGCACCGGTGACTCGCGAGTACGGCCCGACCCGGCCCCATGGACAGGAACGTGACACGATTTCGTTAATCCGCAGGCGTCCATGGAGCCGTCCTGGCCGGACCTGCAGCCGGACCTGCCGCCCTGGCCGGACCCATCGCCGCACCTGCCTACATCGCCGGACCATCCGGCAGCATCCAGGCCGGACCAGCGGGCGTGGGCAGCATCGCTCGTGGATGGGCCGGTGGACACTGGTAATCGACCGAGGTGCTTCTTGAAACAGGACCTTCTCGACGACCCGACTGATATCCCCTTCAACCATACCGACCTCAAACTTTGATCGCACACGATGGATCTCTTCGCATTACCGCTCGTACCTCTTCGCGATGCTCTCACTGTGTTTGTGTGTACATAACAATGTTTTGCGTATATATACACAATAAATCGCATACTATATACCTATGAGATTTTTATTTGGATTGGGAGAAAACAATGTGTACCGATTTTTATACAGATTTTCCGCCTCGGATCACCTCTTCTAGGGATCCCTTATACGTCCTCGCATCGAGACAAACGCGAAACTTAAAACCAGGCTCGGATTCTCGCGAAACAGGAGACGTAATTGCATCGGGGAACCTTTCTCGGTATCGTTCGGGGCCGACGTTCCCGGGACAATTGAAATTTCACGGCGGAGCACCTCCACAAATGGCTCGTCGTAAACCTCATGCTTCATGCGCGCCGAATAGGATATTACGGCTTCCGAGGAATCACCGAGGTGTTTTCGGAAGTCCGGACCCCGTTCCAAGATCCGCCACGGTGGCGGTGCGTTTTAGGAACGATTTCCGGATTTTGGGCCGCGATCGGCTTCCGGATCTGGGAGAGGGGCCGGGTTCGGTTTTGCCCGCGGGCTCGAGGGGACTCGCGTCGGGAGAAGAGGCCAAAGAAGATCCGACTTACCTTTGTGTTAAGGTGAAGTGAAACCCCCTTCAAATCAGTCGATTCGAATACAACACTTTTTTTTAAGGGTATTAGACCAAAGTGTCCGAAACTTTGACACATCCGTCTTGATCATCTAAGAATTGTCCTGACACATTCAAGATTTGGGTTTTTAAACAAAATTTTTTTATTCAGCCCAGACCAGAACCAAAATGGCGTCGAGCTCTGATATTTCGATCAATATACAATTATCGAAGGCTCTGATATGAGAAACGAAAGGGTCAGGACAATTTTACGACAATTTAGAACACTCTGGTAATCGATAAACTCGCATTTGAATGGGACAAAGGCAAAAAAAGTGTTGTATGCGCTTCTATGCCAAAACGATGGTAATACGAGGTCTTGGAGTGAAAATTTAATTGACCTGGAAATCACAGACGGCGCAGGGGGTCCCTCCGCAGTCAATTAGGGCCCCAGAAAGCATGAATCCAGAGGATTTCTGGAGTTTTACTTAGATTTCTTTATAATTATTGTACGAAAACGACAGGTGGAGTATGCCATTTGGTACAGTACCCAATATAATTCGACCCAGCTGTCGATATAAAAACCAACGTCGGCGACGTAGGCATTTAGAAAAATCTTCTTTATCTACGCCGATCAAGTTCCTCGACGTGTTTCACTTCACCTTAAAACGAAATACAGTATTTATCGTCCGGTCGAAGGCCGTCGAATCCTCGGGACGTCGGGACGTGACGAGATGCTCCTTGCGGTCGATCCGTGGACGATTATTCGAATTTTTAGTCGATTCTAACTCGTCGCAAGGTCCGTGGAACGGCAGAATCGCCAAAGATTTATTAATTTGTCTAAAATTTCACTAAGCAAATTCCCAGATAACGCGGTAAGCCTTGGTCTATCCGAAGGCCTCGGTTTGGGCAGACCTCGGGTCGCCTATCTCGTCCATTCCGATCCAGGCTGGGTAGGGCGGTCCAGAGGATCCAGAGGTTGGGCGGATGTGGGTGATACCTTATGTAATTATGGGAAATTGCTTTAACGCCACTCCAATCAGTCGAGTATTCTCCTTGAGCGGCGCGATTGTCGTTATCTATATATTTTCTTCCCCTTTGTCGCGGGGCCGCGAGCCCAGTCTAGCCGAGCCTCCGTGTTCCGCCTTTAATCTCCGTTTTCAATCAGCGTCGCGACGCGACTCGAAGCTTTCCGGAGCTTCCCGAGCGCAGCTTTCCGAAGCGCGCTCTAGCCCTGCGGCGCCGTAGGGCTTCGAGCTTTCAATGGCGTGCCAAACTGTTTGAGTTACCCGGCCGCGCTTCGAGAATTATGCCGACTTCGGATTTCCATCTCAAAAGGGATTCCTCTTCTTTCCGCTCTCCCGGCGTCCCGTCCCCTGGCTAGTTTTCTTATTCCCGAGGGAACCCCGCCCCTGCTCCCCTCGTCGAGGTCCTGGACCGACGACCGACACGATGTCCTTATTCATCCCTCTCGCCGCTGATTGGCGACCAATGGAACCTTGAAGAGCCTCCACCAGAGGAAGTCGATAATTCCCCTTCTTAGGATGTATCGATAAATGCTTATCGACGAGGAATGAAATTCCTGGGACTCGGTAAGACTTTCCGCGAGTCGAGACGTAGAGGGTGGATGTCGATTTTCAATATTTCAGGAGGAAAAAAAATTATTTGCCCCTGAAGAAGAGGGCACTGTTCTCGCCACTCGAGGGAGAGACGTGGACGTCGAGGGATGCGGAAAGAAGAGAGATCGGCCCTCTCGATTGTCGAAGTCGGGGAAGATTGTTTCCACGGTTCGCTCGTAAAGCCAGGAGTTTCCCTTGTGTAAAGGCCGTAATCCGAGCACCTGATCGAGATGATCGAGTGGAACGAAGACGAGTGTATCCTTTGATAAGAACCGACAAAGGAGGAATTGACGGTTCCGACTTGCAACTCCAATCTCGCGGTTCTTGTCCGCGTCAAAGAAGGAATCGGCGGTTAGACTCGACGATTCCGTGGGGAGGGTATCGGGAAAGATAAAAATTGCGTTAAAACCGGGAACGGAAGGTGCCGCCGTAAGTGATAATCTCGACGCGGCGTCAGACGGAGGAGAAATATGGTAAATCGAGCGAGTTCTCCTGAACTTGATCGGCGATCGGAGGCCGAGTTAAAGTAAGGTTAAACGTTAATACGCATCATGGGGAAAGAAATTTAATGCGTTCGATGGAGCCGTGAGTTGGCGACTTCGATTCGAAGCCCATCGATCTTTGCCACCCGAGCGCGTCGCGCTATCGATTATCGATCCGACGACTTTCTAATGGTTTCACTGCCAAGAGCCCGAAGTGCGCGATCATGTTTTTGCATCGACGCTGTAATTATCCAATCGAACGATCGCATACCAAGGACTTCTAACGGTCCTGATCGATAACGCCAGGATAACGAGCCGTCGCTATTTCGAAAAAGAATTAACGCGAGTTTCTTTGTGCCCGTCTTTATCCGGCCGTCAGACTCGTCGGCGGTGTTGGAAAATTCTGGTGTCGAGCGTGGCGAATTTAATTTCATTTAATTTGTTCGGGCAAAGCTCACGGGTTTTTGCCGACAACGGAACCCCGGTCGACCGGAACGAATATGAGAAAAAAAAATCCGCGCCGTTTGTCCGAGCATGATTTCGTCGAATAAAAAACCACCGCGAAAGACAATCCTTCGGTCCAACCCTGATATCGCGTAGATCGCGTAAGAAATGTTAATCGAAACTATAAATCAATTAACCGTGTTTACAGTTCTCCAATTAAACGGACATTCGCTGTCGGTAAATACCTTCGAGGCGGAATTTCGCTCAACTCAATTGACGTATCGTCGAACGGCTATGTCGATTAATCGGATATCATTTACGTGAAATCCGTGATGGTCTATTTGTCAGTAGAACGTCGGAGCATTTTCGATTCGGAACATACCGATGCATTTCCTGGTGGCCCGAATTGTTATGTCTCATACCAATCTATGAAATGCGTGCAATGCATCGCAGGGAATTACGTCGTACCAGGATGCAATTGCACCTTACAATGGGCGACTCGTTGGACCGTACTTAGGGATGTTGAAAGGATTACGATCTATTGCTCGATGAACACCAAACGTTCCGGAGTCGACGCGTTAAAATTCCAAATGAAAATTAAAACGTCCAACTGTTTCTCGTTTGATCATGGAACCGTGCATTTCGAAGGTGTGCCACCTAAAACCGAACCGCTAAAAAGTCCCCGCAACGCGGAAACCGTCGAATTTCCTCATTGAGCGCTTTCAATCGTCCCCGTCAACGTGCTCGTCGTGCAGAGTCGCGGTGCCAATTTGTTCGGTCGGCAACAACGTTGCATCGTTAACACGAGGAAGCACATTCGTCGGCACGGAAACGCAGCCGCGTTTAATTCGATTTGACCAGTTTCGTGGACATCGTGTCCGATTTCCAGGGTAGCGTTTGCCGTGCGAGGACGCGCGGATTCGCCATCCGCGGAATTAGCTGCACCAGCTGATGCACCCTTCCCGGCAACGGGGAATCTCATTCGACGGCTTATTTTACAGACGTGGAAATGCACCGGGGCCGATGAGTTCATCGGAGTTCTATCGACATGCCCACGTATCGCGAGATACCATTCGAATGACCGACGGACTCCTGCGGTTTCTAAGGATTTTTAATATGCGCGGAACTCCTCGGTGAAAGTCTTCCCAAAGAATGACGAGATAACGCGAAAGAGAATGCGCAGAATGCACCGGGATACGGATTCAATGACCGCGGGACCGGTCGGCGGTTTATCGATTCGCCTCATTTTTCAATCTTAACGGAATTCGATATGAACGATCGGTATGCAGGTCGCGGACGTTTGCAAGTACCCACGGAGCACTTAAAACTCGTGTACCTCGAGTAAACGTCCGATCGAATGCGTTATGTCACCCTGATACGAATGAACCGCGCACCTTGTTCCGCGGGTCGACCTCCACACTGCAGCTGCAGCTACGGCAAGTTATGATCGATCCAGTTAAACGTCACGAAGTCGTAACCGGGGGCCGGTAAACGGTGACATTGATCGACACGTGGATCGGCAATTTCTCATTATATTCTAATCCCACAACCACACCCAGCGACTACCTATGCAACTTCTCTACGGGGGACGATGCATACCGGACGTTCCGCCATCACCGACGATGCACTATATAAGCCGAAGAGACTCGACATTGTGCATCAGTCGAGTGGATTTCTCACCATCTTCGAAGAAACCAGGTGACATCGCTGACGCCATGAAGTACCTGGTAGGAGATCTAATTACTATGAAAGCTCGATCCATTGATCTGCGTATCCAAGTCGGGTGGGGAGTGCGGATCAAGTCGCGGATTATCGGAAGTGGGATTTATGCGTAGTGGCGGAAGGTGCTCGGGTCGTAATCGCGACCTGTGCCATGGGTTACTTTGTCCGTAATTGCGGTTCGGTGTATTTTATCGAACGGGAGATGGAATCGCTAATACAATGGAATTTTTTTAGGCAATCCTCGCTCTGACGGTGACCATCGCATCTTGCGCCCCGGAACGCTTACGTCGATATCTGGACTTCGGATGGGGCCATGACGGTGTTGTGTATTACGATGATTATGGTCATAATGGAGTGTCAATTTCTGGACCAGTGGCACCTGCCACCAAAATAATTGGACCTGTACAGCCGCCGGTTTCCGTGGTGGGACCTGCTGCTGGATCGGCCACCATCGTGGGACCATCGGCTGGTACGCTTTTAATTAGTCATATTAATATTTGAATTAATAAATGGTAAGGCTGGGAACAAAGGCGAAGGAATCATTTGTTACATGAGCATTGATGTTTCAGGAGACGCCATTATTGCCGGTCCCTCCGGTACCATAATTTCCTCGAGCCTCGGTCATGGTCACGCACTGGTGTATCCTTATGGCCCCCTGGGATTCCATGGCTATTGGTAGCCCTTGATCATGCTCCATCGGAAACAGTCCTTGTTCCCCGGCGAATCCGAGGCCATCTTCCGAGGGATTCCACCAAAAGCAGCCAACCAATCGTCGGGCCTCCCTTCGAAGTTCCAAAGTTTACGCGATGCGCTCTTACCTACGGACACAATTTCTATACACACGGTCGAGGCAAGTCCTCGACTTTTCAGGAGCCGAAACTTCGGATACTCTTTCCCCCGAGAAGTTAGAATGACCTCGGGAGCAATGGTGCTTTCGCAAATACGCATAGTTGGACGTACAATTGCGCATAGTCGTCCGAGTTAAATGATCTGCGAACTGTACCGGCGCGAGTTTCATGAAACTCGGGGTGCTGCAATTAACGTACTGTACTGTAATTCCTCCTGGTGCTTTCTTGTCGATTCTAAGCCGACCAGAATCTTAAGCTCGATAAGCCACCTCCCGAGAAGAAGTTGGAACCCGACAATTGGTTTACCTTCGTTTTCAGAAGTTTATCCCGCGCTGGGGCGGCCGATCAATCCCGGAGCATGGCTTAACTTTTGCAAAAAGTCAGGAGTAATCAGCGGTAAATCGAGGCGTGTAACGTTTAAGCGAGGCAGTAATTAGATTTGCATGCCAGCTTCGATATCGTCGGTCGATGCTGTATGGCGCTATGGAAATTGACGTTGGTAAGATAGGCGCTCCCCTTCGAAGCAGAAGTGCATTGTCGAAGTTCCGACTCACCGTGCACTAATTTCAACCGGTCGTCCGGATAATCTTAAAAATCCTTTGTAATTCAACCTTGCTCTACCATTGTACGATATTCACCGGAGAAATGTATCGGAATAAAATTTCCTTGGAGAAGAATCCCCCATGTCACGCCTTTAAATGTCATCGATACCCACGTTAATGAAGGAAATCGTAATTGAACGGATTAAGAAATTAAATGGCGATTCCCCAACCTTCGCGACCAAAGTACAAAGTAGGTACAAGGCTGCACGAGATTTAAGGAGGCGGTGATATTTACAATTCTCAGGCGTAGACGAAGTGCGTGGTCGTATCCTGATGCGATTACGCGGGATTACCCGTCACGATATCTGGCATCAAGGTGGATTTCTTTGCATGGACGGTTACCTGGGAAATAATTATGGATCGAATTGCGATCGATTACGAGTGGGTTCCTTCGTGAGATCAATGTTAAGCGACGTTTCGGCGTCGTCTTGCATAATAATAAGGGTTTTGTTCGGTACACATGCTCGAAAGCCAGGACGAAATCGAGCACCCTCGATTTAAACCTTGTCCTTAAATTTTGTTCCTTAGGATATTACCAAGGAACCCACGGCCGTCATAAAAGTAACATAAATATTGTACGCTATGAGGATAGTTATTTTAATAACAATGTTAACACGATGATGGAAGCGTCGCCATCTTTGCATCTTCGCGAGTGGGGGCAGTTGCGACATCCTTGTCGGATTCTCTTGTCCGACATCTACCGTCCTCCACTGGTCCTGCATAAGGAACAGGGCGTGGTAATTTTTTCCATCACCTAAACAAGACACACACGAGGAGGCTATATAACAAGATAATCTCAGGAAAGACGAATCAGTGGTCCAGGGACGACGCCGTTGATTTGCCGAGCGACGGAGTGACAGTTTCGTTTCTACTTTCGACCGATATTAGGTGTCCAGCCATGAAGTCGCTGGTGAGTCTTCGGAATGATAAGAGCAGCCACCGCTTAATCGATTAAATCGATCAGAAAAAAAAATTATTTATTGGATATCAAAAATGAAAAAGACATTTTTATTATCGTCGAATGGATTGGCCCAGCAAAAACTGGAGGAAGAATCGCAATTTCATGCCGTGGAATATGCCCTCGAGTTACGATTTTCCCCGTTTCCGGGATAAGCGGAAATAATAGAAGATGGTGATTCCGGGTGAAATGAGAGAACCGCTGCGCGGGGCTACAAATTATGTTAATTTTTATTGGGCACAGTTGTTTTTACCGTGTGCACGAAAATGGAATTCCTTCCTACCGCGTTATAAATCATTTCCCTCCGTGCGGAACGAAACTACTTTTTTAGTAGGGGGAAAGAAGTGTCTCGGCGAAATAGGAAAGGAAAAGGGGCGCAAATTTGTTATATAGGGGCAGCGGTAACTGCACCAGCCGCTGCATATCGGAGTTGCAGCTGCAACCAGACGATCCCGTTTATCGAATCAAGGGGCACTCGAGAGATCAAAGAGCTCCGGTTGCGTATTGACATTTTTTATTCGAAACTACTGCCACTTTTACGGGGATGCGCGTTAAATTGCGACTGAAGGATCGCGGAGGAAGCGAGAGAAGGGAAGAGGGAAAAAACCGAGAAAAGTGCTGGGGAAACTGCACTGTTAATGGCAAGGAAAAAGATGGGATTTTCCCCACTTCGCGTTTGCCAGCTCCCACCTACGATTCGAATGCGCCAAGAGAGATCACGATGTACCGTAAAAGGGCACCTATGTGCACACCATGCTTCGTACTTACGATCTTAAACTGTCGGGAGTACGGGCACCTTCGGGCTAGGTACCCGCTTCGCCCTCTTATAAATACCTTCCGCCAGGGGAAATATATTAGCTGGCTTCGGAAAAATGAATTTCATTTATTTCTCGTAATTCCCTTTACACCATCTTCCATTACGCCCCCGTCGCAATCGTGGACCCGTTCACCCTGTTATCGACGTACGAGTCTTTTATCAAAACGTAACGGATCCGATATCGAGAACATTTCTCGTCCTTCGTACCCTAGGGTCTCCTCGATGCTCTCCTTGGCACGTCCGTACCTAAAAACCTCGTTTACGCCTCAACTTTATCTAATTTTACGACTATCGGGTGCAATTGCAGTTGGTGGCTTCGGTACTCCTGGCAACGGCGTACGGCAGCGTCTGGCCGTATCACGAATCGGTGGGATTGGTTTCCGATAACGATGGAATCATCGCCGTGCCGGCTCACAGAATTGTACCTGCGGTTAACCTGGGTTCCAACGTAGCAACTGCCCACGCATCAAGCGTTTCCGCTGGACCAGCCTCTGAACCCGTCGTGATCAAAGGTCCCCTTTCCAGCGCCGTCAGAATTGCAGGTGCGCTCAGCCTCCCCTCTTCCGACAACCCCTGCAACATCGTTTCGAACTTTAACGAAATTTTCTTCATTCATCCTACATTCTAATCCTCCTCTATAAAAACTGCTCCGAAAAAATAATTACCATGCCTAATTATTCTCCCACAAACCTGCACTCCTTCTAGCGATAAGCTACAATGTATTTATCGTGCTCGGTCCTCTGTATGATTTTGAAAAACAGGCCCATCGGAGAGGACTTATTATCTGGAGAGTCCATATCGGGCCTCATATCGAGTCCCCTATGCAGTAGTCGGACCCACCGAGAGACCAGTTGCGGTAAGCTCGGCACAAAGCTCCACGTACGGGTCTTCCGCATCCGCATCCGCGAGCGCATCATCGGGGCATCCCGATGGAGCCGTCCTGGTGGACGATCCAGCCATTTCGCCGATATTGTCCGGCCCGATCCTCCGAAGCTCTTCCGGTGCAACTGCGGATGCAAGAGCGTACGCTTCGGGTGCACCCAGTGCCCTGGCTTCGGCTTCTTCGGGTCCAGTTTCCGTCCTGGGGCCGGTCGGCAGTCCAGTCCTTGTCAAAGGTCAGCAACCTTCGCCAACCTCGGCAACCTTGTCCCCGACCTAATTTCAGATGCAGGATATAGTCACGTCAGGCAGGATGCTGCTCCTACTCTGGAACGGATATATCGACTGCACGAGTAATCGTTCCTTACCGGTATTACCTCGAAAGCGTAAGAACGACTCGGTAATGGATCGCCCTCGAGAAGTAGGTACGATCAAACGGTTGCAAAAAACGGTTTCATCGTTTACGCCTTGACTGTGGAAACGGGTTCCAATTTCGTATAAGTAAGCCACTTGTCGTTATTGCCGTGTTTACGATTGTCATACACTGCCACACTTCTGTATTGCCGAGCAGCAACGACCGTTTTCGTGTCCGGTAATCAGAATTCTGGGATTTCCCTGCTGACATGTTTGCATATGCATACTAGGAAAAATAGTATCTGGGTTTAGTGGATAATAACGATGGGGGGCATTACCGCACGTCACGGCGTTCTATATGGCGAGGCTGAATGGAATCTCTCACCGAGCTCCAGTTCCTTTTATTTCACCGTAATGGCAGCCATTCTCTTTCAAAAGATACTTATAATTATTCCGTTTAATGATCCGGTTTAATGTCCTCTTCTAAATAACCGACTTTCAGCGGCACCGGCACGTGTATCAGTCCTTTCCTCCTACCTCCTCCTCCTACCTCCTCCTCCTGAGAGGAGGTAATTACACATCCTTACGAAACGTTTGCATTTTTAGGTGCAGTCGCGAGCTCCTCGGTGATCGACGGCTCTTCGTCTGCTCCGGTCGTAATTCGCGAGGATTATCGCCCCGTGACGAGGTGCCCACCGGAAGTTGACCTCGTCGCTCCAAGATGGCCAGCTGGACGTCCAACTCCCATTGCGATCTCGACTCGTCCGGCTCCCATAGCGATCGCGGGACCTTCCCCGGGATCGGTGTCCATCTCGGGACCTTCGGTACCGGCAACCGTCATTTCTGGACCATCCGGCACCATTACCACCGGTGGATCCTATCCATGGGACTTTAACAGACGATGGGTCCCAGCTTACAGCAAGTGGTGAACGCTCGCGCTCCAAAAGTCCAGCGACTTCGACTAATCCGTCGCCGGAAATTCATTGTTGCCTTTTTTAAATAAAGCCACAAATGAAAATTGACGATCTGAATTTTCAGACGCGTCTGAAAATTCGAAATACCTTGAGCAAGGCGCAATCGCAAATCCGCGCACGCAAACGGCCGTCTAGGTAACCGATCGGCAATTAACGTTACGCCCTCGCCGACATTGCTCCAGATCGGTGAACACGCCGCCGAGGGAAATGAGCGCAAGGACGTTAAGATACGAGCCGATCGATTTATTAATTCACACTAAACATCCGCGTGTGACTGCAATGTCGGGGATTTTCTCGCGAACTCGTAATCGCACCATGTCCGTGGAAGTATGCGGACAGGTAATATACGCTTCTTCGACCGCGTCGGAATTACCTCGGCAAAGGTTGGCTCCCAGCTTGGAACGGCTCATTTCTAGAGCAGTCATAGATTAACAGGCGCTTTTGCTTTGCATTTATTCAAACTATTAATTTTCAGTGCCCTCGGGCATGACGCTCCGTCGGAGCGCCGCAACTCGGAGGAATCCAACGTGGCGTGATGGGTCTTCTTCCGACTGCCCAGGGAGAAAGTTGGAGGTATGAATTATCGTTTCTCTATCGGCGGAACAGGTTGCTGAGCCGGTGGAGACGCTGGAGACGCCGGGGTGGGTAGCTGTCCTGCCAAATTTCGCAAAGCCAGGATACTGGGTGGCACCTGTAGCGGGATCGGAAGGTCCGGTCGATTTTCCCACGCGGAGAACGCGCTGTTGGAAACGACGTCCATGACTTGTCCAGGTCCTCCGAAGACCTGCTGCAAAGAGGTCCGGAAGGCCGATACCTGATCTGGGGTAACAACCTCGCTCAATATGTCGCCCTGCACCTGCGGACATGAAAAAAATACATAAATGTTAAAAAAAAAAAAATTGCAAAAAGTAATCCCAGCGTCCTTCCTCCTCGGTATTCGTGATATTTTATTCGCTTCCTCTAACAGGATTTCATTAACCGGGGCGTGGTTATTCGTGCATCGTTAATCCTCTTCGAACCCACGCGAATATATTATTCTTCCTCCCTCCTTCGGCGATCCCGCGCAGCTTCAACGAGGTGTTTTATTGCCGATCGCGATCGCTTGTCCGCGATTAAATTACAAATCGCGAATACCGTCAGCTCCCGGTGATATTGACCGTTCGCGAATTATCAGCTAGCGACACGTTACGGAATCCGCCATACATATTTCAACTCGAGCCGTGCAGTTGCACGGACGGCTAGTCTCGATTTCAATGAGCATGCCCGAGTTGTGACTCAAAATCGACGCCGAACATGTCCGACTATTTGCGAATTATGACCCGAACCGTCAAACCAAATTCACGGAGATAACGTCCCCTCTCCGTGGATGTCCGAGTAAAAAATGAATTTGCCCCCGTAGGAAATTCCGAGGCGTTCGCGAATTAAGGTGAAGTGAAACCCCCTTCAAATCAGTCGATTCGAATACAACACTTTTTTTTAAGGGTATTAGACCAAACTGTCCGAAACTTTAACACATCCCTCCTGATCATCTAAGAATTGTCCTGGCACATTCAAGATTTGGATTTTTAAACAAAATTTTTTAATTCAGCCCAGACCAGAACGAAAATGGCGTCGAGCTCTCATATTTCGATCAATATACAATTATCGAAGGCTCTGATATGAGAATCGAATGGGTCAGGACAATTTTACGACAATTTAGAACACTCTGGTAATCGATAAACTCGCATTTGAATGGGACAAAGGCAAAAAAAGTGTTGTATGCGCTTCTATGCTAAAACGATGGGAATACGAGGTCCCGAGGTGAAGATTTAATTCACCTGAAAATCACAGATGGCGCAGGGGGTCCCTCTGCAGTCAATTAGGGCCCCAGAAAGCATGAATCCAGATGATTTCTGGAGTTTTACTTAGATTTCTTTATAATTATTGTACGAAAACGACAGGTGGAGTATGCCATTTGGGACAATACCCAATATAATTCGACCCAGCTGTCCATATAAAAACCAACGTCGGCAACGTAGGCATTTAGAAAAATCTTCTTTATCTACGTCGACCAAGTTCCTCGACGTGTTTCACTTCACCTTAAGCGGATGTAATAATCGAATTACATAGTCCGAACTACGCTATTCGAATCGACACGGCCAACAAGGCTGGATCGATTTACCGATTTAACCATCCAAATGGGAACGCAATCGAGGAGGTGATCGACCCATTCGCGAATTGATCGAAATTAAGTCCGACTTGGTGGAATGACATTTTTTTTAAGCGAACTTAATCTAATTAATTAATAATTAAATTTGATATTATTGACAGACGTACTTTCATCGCGAAGAAGACGTAGATTAACAAACAGGCGACCACTTTTTGGAACATCTTGCTCGACCGAGTTTTTACTTTCGGTCTTCCCTCGAAAACTTTCTGCGACGAACTCTTCGAACTGCTTCAGAAAATCTCGAACTGAGTCGTTCTCCACTGCGGTCATCTTATATGTATCCCGAATGTTGTTCCATGTCCCGAAAGTCATTATCTGGACAACGTCCGATGGCCCCCCTTCGTTCGTAACGATTGATTGGCACGTTGTTCCTGGACTGTGTTCGCGCGATATCGCGTATCGCCTGAAGATGAGGAGGAAATTCAACAAAGCTCCGGAGAGAATCTCGAGTGATTTCGAAACCCGATTAACCGGCACCCGGAAAAATCGGAGAAAAAAAGATTGATCACATTTCTCGCACTAATTCGATCGTGCCATTAACGAGCGTAGACACTCCGGGGTAATTTATTGCGTGTTAACGGAATTAACTGAACGGAAGTCGTATCACCGATGTGTATAATTTGGTACCGGCAATGCGTAGGTTTTGCAAATGAGCAATAAGTTGCCAGCCCGTAATTACCGTAGTCGCATTGACTCGCGGTTCTACTGAGATTTTCTCGCCGCTAATGGGCCGGATACCGTAAGACTTTTCAATTTGTAAATTATATACATTTCGCGTAATCTCACGGCGGGGGATTTGCAAATTATCAGTATAAATTTTGTCCAGGTACAAGAGTACTTCGAAAAAAATGTAATCCCGACGAAGTCGGAACGGACCCTGTTGCGCCGTTTCTTTTCCGCAGCATCCGAAATTCGGAGCAATCCGAACATTTCGAGGACATCGGCGTCGCCTTCTGACGATCTTGTGACGTCGGCGGGATCTCGTAACGTCGGATTTTCGTCCGGTCGTGGTGTAGGTGTTTTCCTGATCTCGTTAAAGCTTTAGATCAAAAATAACGAGACGCGCGACCATATCGCGAACACAAGCCGTCAACAATGCGGCGGCATTTCGACGTCGACGCCGCCCGGCGGTGGAGGGACCGTCAGGACGGCAGGCGTCGTCCGGACAGCTGGGAAAATTGGAAAAATCCGGCAGAAATTGCGCCGAGGACATCGGAGTGACTCCGCGCGTCCGTGGAAAAGGAAAGAAAGGGGGAAAAACGAAGCGCGGGTGGAGCGAAAGAAAAAAAGAGCCGCCGAAGAGCGAGAAAAAAAAATGAGTCAAAAGGAATCGATCGCGCGACCCGGCCGCCGGGCCGGAAATCGAATTCTCCGCGATTTCCTGATTTCGAGAGAAAACCGGAGAAAAAGCGAAGGGATGAAAAAAGACGCCGACCGGAGATCCGACGAGTAGGCGGGCCAGGGCGATTCTCCACTTGCGGATGGCCGATGCGATTCGTCCCGCGTTTTTCGATAGGATCGAGATTTAAGGTGAAGTGAAACACGTCGAGGAACTTGGTCGACGTAGATAAAGAAGATTTTTCTAAATGCCTACGTTGCCGACGTTCGTTTTTATATTGACAGCTGGGTCGAATTATATTGGGTATTGTACCAAATGGCATACTCCACCTGTCGTTTTCGTACAATAATTATAAAGAAATCTAAGTAAAACTCCAGAAATCCTCGGGATTCATGCTTTCTGGGGCCCTAATTGACTGCAGAGGGACCCCCTGCGCCATCTGTGATTTCCAGGTGAATTAAATCTTCACTTCGAGACCTCGTATTCCCATCCTTTTAGCATAGAAGCGCATACAACACTTTTTTTGCCTTTGTCCCATTCAAATGCGAGTTTATCGATTACCAGAGTGTTCTAAATTGTCGTAAAATTGTCCTGACCCTTTCGATTCTCATATCAGAGCCTTCGATAATTGTATATTGATCGAAATACGAGAGCTCGACGCCATTTTGGTTCTGGTCTGGGCTGAATTAAAAAATTTTGTTTAGAAATCCAAATCTTTAATGTGTCAGGACAATTCCTAGATGATCAGAAGGGATGTGTCAAAGTTTCGAACAGTTTGGTCTAATACCCTTAAAAAAAAAGTGTTGTATTCGAATCGACTGATTTGAAGGGGGTTTCACTTCACCTTAAGGCCCCGTCCCGGGGCGCGACTCTTTTGATTTATCGGCCGGCGTTGTCGCAATTTCGCGTGTCGGTGCTTATTGCGCGCTTTGGCCGCACCCCTGCCCGGCTTTGGTCTGCCGGAGGACCGGGCTTTGGGTTATTTTCACGCGGAAAAACACGAATTTCCCAGCCGGCGGGGCACTTTGCTCTGATGCACAGGCCGCGACCACGACAATACCAAATTGTCGCGCTCGGGGAAGCGCAATGGACTCGACGAGCCCATTGGCCGAATTACGATTCGCCGTTCGTAACGCAATGCGACCGTCACGTCATGTGCTCCGTCGAATATTACGGTTTTATTGCCCTCGATACCGCCAAGGGACGAGACGCTCTCTCCAGGAATAAACCGCGGGAAATTCTCGCAAAGTTGCGAGTCCAGAGTGGTCTTAATCGACGAGTCGCCATCGGCTGGCCCGCTTTTCCGGAAAATTCACCCGGAAACCGACTTGGCCTTGGACTCGGTTTCGATAAGTCTGCGCGACACCGGGGATCGAAAAGGAAAATGGCCAGGATAACGTTGTTACGTTCTACCCCATGTAATTGATTCGTTGACGAAGCGAGTCTTTCTGCCGGGAAAATCGATTCGATGGGAAACGCAATGGTGTCGATAGGGTCGGCGATCGCAGGTGAAGTTCGTTTCGGTTCTATAGGTAGATCGAATTATCGGGCGTCGCAAATTTATTACCAATTACCGTGAGTGCCCGCTGAACTTTTCCCCGGGCTCTTTCTCTCTTACTTTACCACGACCGGGCTGCTTTCTTTTCTTTCGCGAACTGCAACTTTCCCGATCCCTGTCTCGGGGAATCTTCCCTTTCCGGCGATCACGACCCGTCGCGACGCCGATCGGCACGCGAGAATCACTTCGGTCCACTCGCCGACCGTTCGCGAAATCGAAAGTTTCTTCCGATCCAAGTTTCGATCCCGGCATGAAATTCCCGAGCGCGTAAAAGTTGCTTAAACGAGTTTAAGGGGAATCGGATGAGGGACTCGGCGTATTTACCGATCACGGGATAAAGTACCTCCCTTTACTCGGTTCCGTCTTCCACGGTACGTCTCGAAGCTCCTTCTCCAAGTTTTGCGCCCGTGTTTCCCGGTCATTCCGTCATCGAGTCGCTCCAAAGTCAAATTGCGGCGTCGCTTTATCCTCGCGAGAAAATTTTTTAACCGGTATAAAGAAAAAAATTATCACGGTATAAAGTACCTCCCTTTACTTGGTTCCGTCTTCCACGGTACGTCTCGAAGCTCCTTTCCCAAGTTCGCGCCCATGTTTCCCGGTCATTCCGTCATCGAATCGCTCCAAAGGCAAATTGCGGCGTCGCTTTACCCTCGCGAGAAAATTTTTTAACCAACCCCGGTTAGAAGTGGCCGTGAAAAGACCGTTCTTTCCACTTGAACCTTTCTCCGCACTTTCGTGTCCCGAAGGGCCTATTCCGTATCTCCTCGGAAATCCACTCTGGGACTAGCCCTTAGGTCGGCAAATTTACGGCTACTGTACAGTGGACGTCGTTATCGTCCTGGCACCAATTTCCAAGTTCCCAGGGAAAAGTGATCCTTTAACTCGGCCATTTTTACGCAGTAATTCCGCCGAATGTCGCGTTCTGATTCCCGGAGCGGCTTATTTGGAAGTTCCGAAATCTTCGAGGTAATCGGTCAGTAACTGGACCTTATCGGCGGCGCTCGGACAAAGAGAATCGATCTCGGCATTTGTCATACTTTTTGGCAGAAGCCAACTCGCCTCGAGACGTGTCCGAAGAGAGGCTAGAGGCGCGAATCGGCATTCGGCAGATATCACGGTCACGGACCGGCCGATCGGGACGTCGGAGGTTCGTGACTTCGCATCGAGCACTGATTACGGCTGACTTACGCCGTTTCAGATAGCGGCTGACTTACGCCGCAATTTCCACGGGTGTGGGGATTCCTGGAGTCGGTCTCTGGGAGGGTCGAGGGGAATTAGGAGGTGGTTGGGGTAGGTCGCGTTTGCCCGGTGCAAACAGGACTTAAGGTACGAGCGACCAGGGCGAGGAGAGGTCGCCAGGGGGCGCGGGGTTTTAGGGCGACCCCGACTAATGGACAGCATTGTAAAGGACCTTAAAGGATCTCCGGCGTGCTGCGATCCTATAAAGAAAACGACTGTTCCTCGTAATGTCGCGAATTAAACCCCCCTCGGTGGAAACGGCGTTTAACTTGGGGAAAGTAATTGGACAAATTTGGGGATTAAGCGAGGGACTCGCGGAGAGCGTCTTTCTCTTTTTTTCACGACTTCGGGGACACAAAGGACCCCTGGATTTCGGTAACCAGAGGCAGGTAGGAAGAGCACGGTGGATTTGATTTATGTTTCATTGGAATAAACGTAAGCGTTTGATGTGCAATTTACCTTTTCTCAAGGTTCATCTATAGGCCACTTTTTGGCTACTAAATATTTCTGGATCCATCCATCGATTTCGGGGATTTTTTTTAAATACACCTTAGCGGTAGATTGGACTCACTCCCGAATTTTGGCTACACCCGACCTTTTGTCGGTGGCATTATATAGGAAATGTTTCTTCTGGGCGATTTTTGCCCGTCCAGGAGCTCGTTCATTGTCACTTGCACTTTATTCGCAATCCTTTTAACCTCGGTCTCGAGGCTAGAGAAGGCCTTCACGACAAAATCCTTGACGTTGGTAAAGACGTTCTTCGCAGTCGTCCGGAATGACTAAAAAACGAGATTCGTGGGATGAAATACCGAGTTTCGACGCTCTCAAGAGGCCGGGGTCTTGACAGTTCAACCGACACATCCCGAGGTAACGATCGTGATTATTCAACGAGATGCAACCAACAAATCAAACCTCTGAGCCCGGGAAAAGTTGAGCCCGAGCACCTTAAACGGCCCATTAAATTTACAAAAGACTTTCAGCTCTCCGGAGGCACGTAAGAGCACTTAGGTAAAGGATGTACCCGACTGACTTTTACATGCAGTAAGTTTTGTCAGTTCAGTTACATCGATAATTCAGTACTTCATTTTACACTTTCCTCGGAATTGTTATTTATCCGAGGGTGGCGACCATTTGTTGGTTTACCTCGTTACGTTTCTTTTTCCTTCGCTGAGAAATTCACGGGAGTTTATTTTCCGAAGCTTCGAAGTATCGGTACCTGAGCTCCGTGAACTAAAAGCAGAAGCAGGACCAGGATCCTCGAGGACATGCCCACTTCCTGCATTGTGTTCCTCTTCGTGGTCCTTTTTGAAAATCGAGCGAGCGAGGGGAATTTTTAGTCCCACGATTGGAAATTACCGCGGATTGTGTCCCACGAGAGAGCGAAGAAGAACTTATAGCCAGGGCAGTTCAGGGGTTCTCCACGGATTCCTTTGATAGGAAAACCCATTTTTAAATTCATCAGACATTCTGCGAATAATTATTTCCATCAAATCGGTCGGTAATACTGCAACAAACGAATTCAGATAATAAACGGTTACTTCCTTTTTAAACTTTCATGAGAAGGAAATCAAGGATTAAAAAATTCAGTAATTTTTTAACACGGAAAATGATGAACCGATTACGACAAAACTACGCTTTCCAGGAGGAGGTTTTTCAAGGGAACATTTCGTGGTATTCTTCGGTATATAACCAGAGGATTACCATCGAATACGATGAGAACCCACCTTTATGGCGGTTCGTTACGAGCCGTAACTATACAGAAGTCGTCAACACTATTGTTCAGCACCGCCACCGTCCCACGTAAACTTGGCGCAGTTCGCTCTCGGCTATTGCGGCAAACCGTGCAGTTTGTAAATCCGTCAGGATGTCCCTGTAAACAGTACTCTATTTAATAAATAATCACGATCGACACTTACCACCGCAATGACCACTCGAGTCGGTAATATATTCCTCTGGACGTTTCCACGTTATTAAAGGTCAATGGATTCCGAGCGGAGAAGTGGCGCTTTAAGGTGAAGTGAAACACGTCGAGGAACTTGATCGACGTCGATAAAGAAGATTTTTCTAAATGCCTACGTTGCCGCCATTCGTTTTTATATTGACAGCTGGGTCGAATTATATTGTGTATTGTACCAAATGGCATATTCCACCTGTCGTTTTCGTACAATAATCATAAAGAAATCGAAGTAAAACTCCAGAAATCCTCTGGATTCATGCTTTCCGAGGCCCTAATTGACTGCGGAGGGACCCCCTGCGCCATCTGTGATTTCCAGGTCAATTAAATTTTCACTCCGAGACCTCGTATTACCATCGTTTTAGCATAGAAGCGCATACAACACTTTTTTTGCCTTTATCCCGTTCAAATGCGAGTTTATCGATTATCAAAGTGTTCTAAATTCTCGTAAAATTGTCCCGACCCTTTCGATTCTCATATCAGAGCCTTCGATAATTGTATATCGATCGAAATATCAGAGCTCGACGCTATTTTGGTTCTGGTCTGGACTGAGTTAAAAAATTCTGTTGAAAAATCCAAATTTTCAATGTGTCAGGACAACTCTTAGATGATCAGGAGTGGTGTGTCAAAGTTTCGGACAGTTTGGTCTAATACCCTTAAAAAAAAGTGTTGTATTCGAATCGACTGATTTGAAGGGGGTTTCACTTCACCTTAAAACGCGCATTTCTGAAAGAAAATAATTCGCCTGGAAGAAAACCATGATAAATCGCTTTGAAGGAGACGAAAAGAGAGGCGTTCACGCGCCGAAGGGAGGTAAAACGCTCATTATTGTGGACGGCGCTTAACGATCAAAGAAGAGCAAGAGCAAGCCGGGGAGGACGCGAGCGAATTAAACCTATCTGGCATCATCGGGGCGCTAATGCCGGCATTTAACCATTCTTATCGTTGGCAACGGCGTAGATCCATCCGCTGAAGAGAGGTGCCGTTATCGCAGCCAATGGGCGGCCACTTCCCCTGGAGCGGACGCCCGTTGGAGCCAGCGGGCCGGGCGAGCGAGCCAAAACCCAATTTAAAAGATAGCGAGAAAATTAGGCGATCGAACAACAGAGTCCAATTTCAGCTCCGCCCGATTTTTCACGTTCGGTCGGATTCGTCGGCCGCAATTACATTTCGCAGGACCTCCCTCGCGAAGTTTATCGATGCGATACCGCCTTTACTCCGGGCGGGGGAAACGTCGATTATCGTTTTTATATTTCCCGTTCAGAAGCCCGACTCTATTAATCCTATGAGAGGGTTCATCGTTTCTGGGTAAATCACGACGCGGAGGAATTTTCAGGCATCAAATTTGCGACTCGAAATTCCGGAATGCTTTGTTGTATAAGTTCCCGTAGGAGGAAATATTTTTGCTAGAAAGTCGGTTACATGTACCCAGGAAATCCGACGTTTCGTCAGGATCCGGTAAATCGAGCCGGAATTACCCTAGAAATATTACGGAGACTCCGGCAAAGAATCGTGTGCGCGAAGTAGGCGCGCTCAAATTCTTGCCGAGCATTATTTTCAAGTTTACGTCGCGATTGTAGGAACTGCTTCTAATTCCGTTCGGGTAAATAATTTACCTTTATTACGGCGTTCGCGATTATATTACACATTGCACCGCGCGATGCCGTAAAGCTCGGAAACCCTATCGTCGTGTCCGACAATCGGAAATGTAGGATTCAGCTCTTACGTTCTAAAATTTGCATACGGATGTTGGAAAAATAGAAGATATATAGGTTACGTGGGCAGTAACCCCCGGAGGCGGTTATTACCCGTCATTGTTTTCTACGCTGAAAAACTGAGTGCAATCTTATTGAGGTTCCGTTCCGTATACTTCGCGGCGATAATCCGCCAGAGTGAAGATATTTTCATAGGAACAAGTTGCTCTTAAATTTTAACGTCAGGAAGCGTGAAGTGAAAACAACCACCAATGTGTAGAGCGAATAAAACGGTTTATTCGGACCAGCGTTTAAGTAGTCCAACTTTTTGAACACTTTACTTCCAGTTGTCAACTGTTTACCCTTGGCGAGAATATGGCATAGAAGTTGCATGGGAATAATTCGTAGCTCGCACATGACCGACCTTTCGTTCACCGAGAGGAGCGGTCCCGAGATTTATTTATTCACCCATTTCCCAGGAGACCCAGAACGAGGCTCAAACGGTGGACATCGATTTTCGCGAAAACTCCGGCGGAGTACCGCAAAAGTTTCCCGGACCTCGCTTTTTATGGCGTAAACTTCGCTTTGCCGATGGCTCGAGCAAGCCCGCAAATTATGCTCGTTGCTTTCTGTCGTCGCCATTAGTAATGGTTCTAATTTCTGCAGCCTTCTCTGGCGCCTGCGTCCGAGAAATCGAAAAAGAACGCGGCACCTTGCGGCCACTCCCATCTAGCGAATTACGACATCCTGAGTCTACGCGTCCAAAAGAAAATCTAAAAGTAAAAAAACGGAGTTAAGAAGACGTTTCCGAATCCCTTTCCCCATTCCACGGTTTATGGGAATTTCTTTTAGAGCGTCCATCGCTGGCGCGCAACTTCCTTCATCCATGTCGCCATATTTTTAGGGGATCCACGTTCATCAATCCGTTAAAATTTAAAAACAGCTAAGCTGGCGTGAAATGCGCATCTAACTGAATAGTGAAAGATGAAGAAGACGTCGCCTTGAAATTTTCATCGGTTAAGACGGTTTCTTCCATCAAACGAATTCACCTTTGTGCTCACGTCTCGAGCGTCTGATCCGGGACGTCCTCTTTCCACTACTCGGGCCACGCATAGCTCCGTCTCGCCCACTCCCGCTTGACCCTCTATACACCTCTCTCGCTCGCTCTAGCTCTCCTTCCGCATGGCTCGCGATACACCCTGAGTTACCAGCTGAACGTAATCCGCTGCCTGCAATCTGTAAGCAGGATTTTGAACGTATGCCTTGGTAAATGTTAGACGTTGATTTGCACGGTACCTTCGACCCCTTTCCCGTCTCCTCCCCTCGCCTCGTGTACGTGCCAGTCTTAGATGCACTGCCTTCCTTCTCAACCCACTATCAGTTTTCCGCTCCTTGATACACCTGAAAGCCATCCTTGCGATAGAATAACCTCCAGAGGAAAGAGATCCTAAATTATTTCCATAAAGTTAGTTCATACCCATTCCAACGAGTATATAAATTGTGCCTACGTGCCTGGTTCGTATCGACTTCGCTTCGAATTTGTCCGATCGAAGCAAAAAGCCATCGGTGTCCGTCCGGCGTTCCCTAGATTCTGGACGGCGTGAAAAATGCCGAGCAACGAATTCACGTTTCGGCTCGATGGATTCCTCGGTGTATGATAATGGACGACAAGGAGGAGCCGAGGCCGACGAGCAAAAAGTGGCTGAGTCGGCGTTATATCGCGAAATGACTCCCGACTCGCGAGATGCCGAGTAAGCGGTGGCTGGTCCTCGTCCCTGAATTTTTTCGTCAGACTATCTCACGGGCACATCTACCGCGGTAACTCCGCTGGAAGTTGGCGCCTTCGGCGAGCGGCGAGCGCGGCGACGCCCCCGCCATCTCCCAGCTGACGGCTGAACCCGCAAGCCAGCGGATCGAACTCCGAAAAACGGTTTGTGTCCGTGTTCGCTCCTACTTATACCAATCAAAGACAATTACGACTTCGCACGTTTCGTCAGCACAATGGCCTCGGATTCTCTGAATCTAAAAATACGTGTCCATTGAAACAATTCGCCGCACCCTACTCACCGAAACGGTTAGTACCTCATTGCACGCCGAAGTATCTAGATTAGGTTAGGTGGTGCGGTGTTAATTGGAGACATCCAACTGCAAGTTGGCCGAAACACATTGTAGCTTAAAAATCCGATGGATAGAAATTTTTGTAAACGTTTAAACTGAATAATGACATTCCATCTCTCAATCCAAAGCGGTATTTTCACGATGAGATTCAAGCAACCGAAAAAGTCGTTTCCCCCCGAACTCGCGGAGTAATTTCCAAGTTTTGCAGTTCGTAAGAGCCGCAGGAAAATCCGATTCGGGGCTCGGTGACCGCAGAGGGAAAATCGGGTTCCCCCGTATTTTCGGAAGAGTTTCTTTCTCCTCGGGAAATTCGTTATTCCGCGCATTTTCTACCTCGGAACGAAAGCGTAAAGTGGATTGTTTACAAGGGGACGGAGCTCGATGTCCCGCCGAATCTGCCGGGATTTCGTTAGGGGAACGTCACGTCTGTTTCTGGAAAAACGGAACGTAACTTCATCCCGAGGGTTTTCCAGTCCTACGTCATTTCCGCTCCGCCTCGTCTATTCTTATGTAGTGCTATCCAGTTTTTCGCCCCGCCCCCGACAGAACGGGAAACTTCCAACTTTTCGGTATATTATCCGGCTTTATATACAATCGGTTTTTTCCCCTCGTTGTTCGAGCTCCTTGGACGACGACGTCTTCCTGTTATGCGGCCGCCCCCCTCGACTATCGATTTTCCTAAACGATTTCGCCCGGTAATTTCGAGCGACGACTCAATCCCCGAGCCCACCAACTTGACGAAATTTTTCTCCTCCTCCCCGGAATTAATATACAGACCGCGACATTATTTACATTCCATTTGCATAAACAATCTCCGGAGATACGGGTGCATCCGCGTCTCGCGGATCCGCGCTCCCCCGTCTTAACTTCTTGCTTCCTATTCCCCCTTTCGCTCTTTTCATGTGTTTGTATATATACCTTGGCATGTACTCCACGAACTGCATATATTATATTAAGAGCGCGTTTTTTTTTTTCTAGAATTTTTATGCATCCTTCTGGCGCCTTCAGGACGAGCGGATCGACCCATCGATGAAATCGATCGCTCGGTATCGGGCCTGGCCGGGATCAAAAATTCGTTCCTTCCGTTGATGTCCAATTTAGCCGACGCCATAGTTTACGCGACACATTCGCGGAGTTTACGAGCCTCGCTGACTGCTAAACCTGAAATTTAATATCGTATAGTTCGAGCGCCCCCTGCCTCGCCGGTTTCTTGGCAGTCTGCGTGGAAACTTGAAATTTTCCATCCGCGGTCGATCCGGGGCCCTCTTTTGCTCGCAACACCATCCAAGCCATTATTCCAGGCTTGTATGTGTACCGTCGCAGCCATGAAAGTAGGTAGTTCTCGTATAGTCTCTTTATTCACCCCCCACAGCCACCGTTTCGCCAGGATATTTTCCTCCGCATCCGCGGATCCGCGAATCCCTGTGTGTTACATATATCTGCGAGTCTTTCACGGGAGTTATGTGCCACGAGGTATCTACTCGGTGTATTAAATACGTGATAACTCGAGACGGGACCAGCTCGATATTTTCGTGTGCCCAGGGTCTACTTCGACGCGATAAATAATTTCATCCTACCCGGTCGAACCGACTCGGTTACTTTATACTTTCCAGGCTTTTCTTGGGACGGCGCGTCTAACAAGGAAGGTACCTGAGGTGTCCCCCTCCGATTTTGTTCATTTTTAAATATGCTATAGAGGACTAAAATCTAAGGGACCCGTGTTTTTTTTTTATCGGCGGATAAACACTTTTAGGGGGTGAAATCAGGCTTCAAGGTTGGCCGTGCAAGGGGGTGAGTTGGCTGTTTCATATAGAAGCACTCGACCGATTTTCATGAAACAACCGTCAAAATGTAGGGAATGGAGAATTACGAATCATGCATTTGGAATTTTTCGAAAAAATTCATTTTTAAGGGGTGAGCCACCCCTTTGAATATTTCTTATACCCCTTACGCGAGCTGTAATTGCTCTATCCATATGAAACTTGGTTAATTTATAGACCAGAACAATACAAAAAAAGTCTCATTTGGATAGAAAAGTTGTTTCATGAAAATCGGACGAGTGCTTCTATATAAAACAGCCAACTCACCCCCTTGCACGGCCAACCTTGAAGCCTGATTTCACCCCCTAGAAGTGTTTATCCGCCGATAAAAAACAAACACGGGTCCCTTAGATTTTAGTCCTCTATAACATATTTAAAAATGAACAAAATCGGAGGGGGATACCTCAGGTACCTTCCTTGTAAGTAAGAAAATTAATGTAACCATCAACGAATGAAACACACCACTTGGGGAAGTTCCGCGGCCCGTTGAAGTGGGAGCCCATCTCGTCGAGGATTTACCATAGTTGCGTCAATCATCGAGAAAAATGAGTTAAACTTTCGAATTATGCGAGTGCACGTGTTTCGGTGGCGGAGTTACCCTGCCAAAAGAAACATTACAGGGAAACTGAATTTTCCCCGGCGTTACTTTGAAAGTCGTTACCGTTCGCGGGATTTTCATGCCCTCGCAAGCTGGCATTACGTGAGGAGAAAAAGAGAAAGAGGCGACAGGAAAATAGAGAAGCGGAGAAATGTTTCATAATGTCCCGGAATCGCGTTCCTCGAGAAGCTACTTCGTCGTTCTTGAGCCCACGAATTAGCATGGGCTTTCGATCCGAAACTCAATTGGGGCATGGGATCATCGTCACCGCGAAATCGCTCGTGTCTCCATAAATTCGGACAAATTGAATTACGGATACGGTGACTTAGGAATTTTGGAAATACATCGGGGGGGCAGGACCGCCTGGTGTCCGAAATTCGGAGGGTGTTTCGGGAGACGCTACGCGTCGCTTCCCATTGCTGCGTTTGTCGTTCCGACGTGGTAAAATATGCCACCGACTCGCCGCCAACAGCATTGTGCCGGTTCGCGATCGTAAACAATCCAGCGACATTAATTATCCATAACTTTTTCCGGAATGGCCCGGTGGCGCCGCGGACCGTGCAGCGAATTGAGTTCGCTCTCGATTGACCGAACAGCCACTCGATTAAACGACTCGTTACCGTTTACGTCTCACGGTCTTTTCTGCCGCTTTCTCTTCGTTTTTCTCCGCTTTACTCAATTTGCCCCGGCCTGCTCCTTTCTATCGATTACCGTTCGGAAGCATGGATCGCAAGTATTTTTCCCGGAATTATTTCTACGCGCTCCTAATACGCCCTTTCGATCGATTTACGATCTTTGTTCCCTGCACCCTTTCTGCTGGCCGAACTCTAACCTACAGTGTCTTTATAAAATGAAAAGAGATCGTTTTATTACACTCCCAGCTTTCCGGAACGCGATAGCATCGTTAGTATCGAGAAGTAGACGGCAGTAAATATCGCGAAACTTTTAGGAGGAAGTCTCTCGAGTCTCCCCAGTACATGCAGAACCGATAATCGCATTTCTCATCGGAAATGGCAATCTCTTTCGGCTTAAGATCCCTCCAGAATCCGGAGGAGTGTTTCCTTTGTCATTTTCTGCAGTCCGATGTGACTCGGTCTCGGCCAGGAACAACGGTACTTTACCGGGCTCTCTTCCGAGGGTGCTTTCAACTCCTGAAATTGAGTCGTTCGCCTGGATATCGTCTACAAGTAGATCATATACGCGACTACCGAAAACACCGAAAATCTATGTCAATGATTGAATTTTTCCATAGCACTTGATCGGAGAGAGGAAGAAAGTTTCGGAAATTATATGGCGAATTAAATTTTAACTCCGAAATATACCGGTACAAATAAGAAAAGAAATAAGAGGAAGTACATGTTACCATCCTATGTATCCTTACTCGTCCATGTCGAGGATTCGAGTCGGCGAGACAACACGTGGCGCGCAGGCGCAGGAGGGATGCTCGCACGTGGTCGGCCGCGGCGCGCAGTGAAGAAAGCACGCTCCTGGTCCGGCCGGGTGGCGCCTTCCGGCAACGAGCCGCAGCGGCCAGTCGCGCGCCAGCCGCTGCCAGGGGAGGATCCGTGTTTCCATCGAGGATCGAGGTGAGTACCCCAATGTGTCCCCACTGGAAAATTCGTCCTACTACAAGATATATAATCGCCTACATTTTTTAATGGCTTTCATTTTACAAATGTAATTAAATTTTCCGATCGAAATAAATTTAATTTCGAATTTCCGAGCAGTGATTAGATATATATATCGCACACGTATATGTATATATATACACACCGCGTGTTCAGTTCAGGTAACGTGAAGTTCAGTGATAACTGTAGAAAATAAAATACCGTGGTGGTTATTAATCCGAAGCGTTTTAGTGTACGAGTGAGTAAACGATAATCGTGGATTCTTCAACATTGGGACATACGTGTTAGAAAAGTAGATATTGTTTAAAATAACATCTGTCAACCGTGGTTTATGATACGTTATTTGCTGATTATTCGGACACTCGAGGGGATGTACGTGCGGGCTTTCGCGGTAATGAAGGATAATTGGATGGGTGGTTTATATAGTGATTAACATAGTTCCATGCTACGCGTGTGCCCGCGCATGCGCGAGGGGGCTCATATCTTACTCTTTCTCATTTTCGTGATTCGCTACGAGTTCGGTGCGGTTAAAAAGAGAACTAATAATTTTCTCAATGGGGGAGTGAGGTCATTCCCGTACCGAGGAATATTTTCGATGAACTCGTAACCGTGCGAACGTCTTTGATTATTGGAACCAACGACATAAACAGACCATTTATGAAACGTAAACTCAAAGTCCTCCTCAGCTACTCGGTGTTGTCAAGTTCCGTGCACTGTAAATAATCCCCGCACGGCCATTACAATCGGGAAGAATTATCGCACAATTTTTGAGAGCATAAAAGATCGTCCCCTCTTACAGCGGAACATCAAATCGAGCGTTAGATTTTTAACGCCCCGTGTAACGCGAAACATCCCCTACGGCTCCCCCGAAATATCTCCGAGAGAGTATCCACCTCTAACGCTGTCTAAATTAATAAACCCCTAACCCCAGGAACTTCCTCAAGCCACGAAATTCCGGGAGCATACCTCGAGGCACGAACCGGCGCGACGATTACGTTGTATTCAATTACACGGTCGCGCTATGTGCCGAACGCCGAGGCAACCGGAGAAACAACCGGGCCAATGTTATAAATAAATGCCGAGATGCGGTGAATCTTTCCTCGAGTCGGGTAGAAAAAATTCCCCCGGAGGAATTTACTTTTCCGTCGCGGTATTTCGCCGGGAATTTAAGGCCACCCCTATCGTAAATGCGCCGCGACGTCCTCCGAACTGACTGCGACCCGCGAGTTTTGAGGTTATGTCTGGCCTGCAGCCTCTAACTCGTTGCTCCGTATCGTGACCATAACCTCACCTATAGTCGCGTTTTATAACTCACGTCCGAGCCCCGAAACCCGAGAACAACTGCCCAGATATATTCGACGTCTTCCTCGTCGTTACCCGGGAATAACTTCCTTCCGTAATTGCCTCAGATAGTCGCGACGAATCCCAAGGAGAGACGCGGTCAACGTTTCAAAAAATTCAATGCAAAGCGTTGATGGTCCGGGATATGCAACACTGGCAACGGGAACAGCGATGGCAACAATCGACCATCCTGGCGTAACACTATTCCACCGTTCAGCTAACAGAAATATAGTTGTTCACTGTTCGTAACGCGTGCTCAAATTTCTACAGCTTCGCCAGGAGAACAACAAAAATATTGGATGTCACTCGCGAGCAAATATTCTTTTTTATTTTCATACACGCGGCTATATAATGGATTACAGGCCGGAGTAAAGATTAACCGTGGGAATAGACATGCGTTGTGGTTCAGCATTTTTTTTTTAATCACTGTTCGAGGATCGTTGCAGTAGTTTTTCTGATGTTATTCAAGCTGATCACGCTTACCTCTGCGACATACCCCCGAACGGTCGAAATGTAATTATTCCTCGAGTATATCACGATTAAAAAACGGACTCCTGACAGTAGCGGCAATTAATTTCCCCCCCAGTAACGAAGATCAACGCACCGACGTTAACGACGATGAACGTTGCCCGTTGGGTGGAGACGAATTTTATTTATTATTTTTTTCTTCAATCTATTTTCTAAGCTTTACATAATAAATCAAGCGAGCGATTCGTGGTTTTTTTTCCTGCCGGGAATTACAAGGCAGGTTCTTTCGATGGAGGACGAGGAATCGAGAAAGCTCGGCCAGCTTTACGTCCTTCGGGATGATTAATTCGCTTCGATCTCGGTCAGAATCCACATATCGGCGACGATCGACACTAGTAATCCGTAATCCGCCCTGGCGTCGGAGTTACGAGGCCGTGAGATTTAACTTCTCGGCCCTGGGGATAAAAATCGATATGATCGCTCGATTTCGGGGATCGGGAAGAGTCATTGGACTGGACGGGAATAAATTTACGCGACACTCGCCGGAAGCTCGGAAGCTTCGGCGCGTCCAACTGTGCCAGAACGTGTCGATCGTTCCTCGTCCGAGTCGCATAATCCGGAAAGCCATTGAACCGCCGGCGTATTTGTATCCCTAGGCGCTACGGAAAAGGGGGGCCTCGCCAATTTTCGAGCAAAGAAACTTAGGCGGACACCCAGCGAAACTCATAAAAGCGAATCGGTGGAGGGTGCCGATATGACCCACGGATGATCCCGATAACTCGCCGACGCGTTTCGACAAAAACCCCGCGGAGATACTTTAGAAGGAATGGGAGGGGACCCTGAAAAATGCTCGTCGAGGTGAAAATGACGGAAACCGTCATTTTCCTTCTTGATAGTCCCTTCATAATCTACGAATTTTCCGACTCGGGGTAATCGATATTAAGTACCCTTTCGTTAGAAAATAGAATTTGCTCGGACGATCCTTAAAGACGGTTAATTTGTTTTTTATTTTTTTAAAATTTTAAAATACACTGTACAGTATCAATTACTACATATTTTGAGGTACTTATATAAATTTTTGTATGAAAAAATTGTTCACTACTGGAGGAAATATGGCCGTTGTCCTAAGTCGTTATCGAGAGAAATATGTAGACTCTTCGAGGGGAGACATTTTCTATCCCGGCGGAAATACTGGAAAATAAATGAAGCAAGGGGAAGGGTCGCGAGGGAACTCGAGGAACCGAAGTTTCAGAAAATCGTGGCAGTTCACTTGCAAATTTCCACGGAAGGGCGGAAACGCGGAAGCGTAAAGAGCGCTCCCTTGGCGAGAACGTTCGGTGGTACTTTAAGCGGGAAATTTGGAATGAATGCGAAACGAATTACGAATCCGCCGCCCTTGCGCTCTTGCATCCTACATTTCCCGCAATTTTCCAGCTGAGAATCTCCAATGGAAATTTTGCGTCCGTTTGGTTATGTCGATATGAGGACGCTTTTCAGACCCGTTGTAGAAGTGCTGCGGTATCCCGTGGCAACGGGCTGAAAAAAAAAAAGAAAAAAAACATTCTCACCTTGCTGTTGGATCCACCGAGACGCCCAGTCATTTTCAAAGACCCAGAAAGATGTTTCCAAATACCGGATCGAGGTGAAAATGATTTTTCAGCGGCGTATTTCCGCCTGGTAGAGATTCCCCTTATCGGGCCAACTCCGTTAAGTTTTCGAGCCACTGACCCGCGCAGTCGGATACGGATTTTAAATATACACTCCGGGAGGGAAACCTCTTAAATTATTTCCGCCGATCCTCCCCCCCGAGGGATCAACAAGTGAAATATTCCATTCTGGAAATTTCGCTTCCGGATCCCATCCATCTCGGCGAAGGCGATAACGAGGAGAGCCATCCAGAGTCTCGGCCCGAATGAAAATTCGCGTTGACGCGATTACGTCCCCGTCAAGAGCTTTTCCGGACACATAAACCTCGCAAAGAACTCCTTAAATTCTCGGGCGGCCTCGCCGCTAATGGGTCTCACGGAAACGAGCCCCGGCTATGCGGACGGTTAAACAAACGAGACGGACGAGGGGCAATTTGAAAATTCCGTCTGCGAGTGTCACATACTCGAAGGTACACGGGCGCCTGTCGAAAAAAAAAAAAAAAAAAGAGAGAGAGCGATCCTCGAGTGGCTGGACCAAATGAAAGATGGCCCTCCGCGGAGGCCGGTGAAGCGCCCTCCAGGCGCAACGATAATTCACTTTTTACCCGGTGAAATAAGTGAACCGGCCGAATAAATAAACGGGGGGTGTCCGGACACTTGTTACGATTCTGGTCACGACACAATCCGCGATATAATGCAGTCGAACGATCCGAAGACCGACCCCAAGGTGCGGAGGAGAGCGCGAGGAACGACCCAATTTCGAGCCTCGAATTTTTCCCCCGAATGGCCATTTTCCATCCCGAAGATGCTCCCGGCCGGCCGTAAATCAAAAGGAGCGACGCCACCCTATCGGGCCACCCGATAAAAATATTTCCGAGGGCGCCTACTGCGCCGGGACGATTAAGTCCTTCCTGAAGTCGCGATCGCGAAATAAAGTGACGCGAATTATCATTAGGGACGGCGGGGCCGATTAAGCCGACGATTTATTCCCGCGAACGTCGACCGAGGCGTCCTCGCAGTGGAAATGGAACGCCCTCTTCCGGTTCTCTTCGTTTCCCTCTTTTCCTCGGGACCCGTCAGCTCCTCGTCTTTCGGACCTCCGCCCCTCCTGCCGAGATATTCTCCTGGAAATATGAAGGAGCCCGATTCGCCCCCTCGAAATTAAACGCTCGGATGGGGGGCCCCATTTGATTGACTAAAGTGCATTCCCCTGAACCCCGCCTACTCGAGGAAAATGCGACGGAAACGCTCTCCACGGTGGAGGGGCCATGACCAACATGAGATCGCCGAGTCCATCCTGAAATCCCGATAAGAGTAACGCGACTCCTATCATCTTTGGCATCGCCGTGCGCGATTAAGTCCACGTTTACGTAAACGTCGACCGTAACGACATCGTTCTCCTAATGGAAATGAAACTTCCTCTTTCGCTCCTCCTTTTCTCCTACGTCCTTCGAGTCTCTCGGTTAACTCTTGGCGAGATGTATTTTCCTGTGGATATTGAGATGCGGACAAGGGCGCCAGGGGGTCCTCGAATCCAACGGGGTTTAATATCCAGATCTTTGAGCGACCTGAGACCACGAGTTAAACATCGTGGATATTAAACCTTTCCGATTTAATGCCGGAATTAGTCGCTTCGTTAAATTAATCGCCGCGAAATCGAAAGGGTTTATGTTTTCCTCGGGAGGGATGGATTTATTCCTTGGACGCCGAAATCCTCGGAATGCGTACTGCAGGGAAAAATCTCCTTAAAATCGGGATAGAAATAAAGGGACGCGCGTTATCGTTAGGTGGGAGCGATTAAACCGAAAATTTATCGGCGCGAACGTCCACCGTGACAGCGGCGCTCTCGAGATGCAAATGAAATGCCGTTCCCTTTGCCTTCTTCCCTTTTCTTCGTTATTCGACTCATCCGCTTTGGGAGCCCCCTCCTGCCTGCCACTCCCTGAGATATTAACGAATGTAATTCACCTTGGGAGTTCCCCGGAATTGAACGTTCTTTCACTGGCTGAATTGAAAGGGGAGATCCATCGGCCCGGTGGAGATGCATTTCTCCAGCCCCGTTTTTATACGAAAAGAGAGCCGCGATCTGGACCGCGAGAGGGACCCGACTAAATGCCCTCAAAGTACTCGTTATTTCAATGAATTATTCCAAATGAGAGGGGTGGAAACTATTACGGGAATTGTCGGAAACGAATGCCTCTCAAGATGGAATATAAAAGCCATTACCAGAAAGCGGAGCGCATTGGCGGGACGATCACTCCGAACTCGCAGGAGCCCTTGATACAATCGGCGCTACTTATGGCAAGGATCTCGAAAGAACTTGCCGTTTCGCATCGCGGAAATTCCATTAGGAAGAAAAATACTCGGGAATCTCTCTGGCGGTTTCACTAATTCGAGGTATTCTCCTACGAATGGAGAGAACGAAAAGGGCTGCCCTATTGTAACGCGGGGCGCGGCGAACGAACGTCAGGGCAAGATGGCGAGGATAAATGCGGAAATCCAACCCTGAGTCGTTTCTGGAAGGGGCAGGGAGGCAAAGAAAACAGGTCCGAGGAGACGCCAGCTAGTCTGTATTGCCGCAGCCTCCCCTGTACTCGCCATTGATTTGTCACCGACTCTGTATCCGTTTCCCTTGGCCGCCCAGATTCGCGCCTTGTAAATCGCCCACCTCGATCTTCCTTATTTCCCCCCGGCTAGCTTTGAAGAACGGAGGAGATTACGGATTCGGAGAGGATTTTTTGTCCCCCTCGCGACTTTCCGCCGGAATATTTCTTTAGCTACCCGGTTCGAGTCGTTAGGAAAACTCACCCTCGGGGGCCCTCCCAATTTCCCGGGACGAGTCCCCCTTCGCGAGAAAATTTCGGAGCTAGAGGTCGGTCTTCCCCTCGTGACGAGGTCGTGGAATAAACCGTGCTCCAAGGGAAGTCGTCACCTGGTGACCCCTACCCCTAGAGACACCTGCTGAACGCGGACGATTTTTAAGAGTGTACGCCCGCGCCCTATGTTTACGAGTTACCCCTGGAGTCGATCCGCTCTCGATTCTTTTCTTTTCCTGCCGACCCCTTCTCTCTCCTTCCGAGTCTCTAACTCGGAAAAAGAACCGCGGAACTAGAGAAAGTGTAGAGCACCGAACAAAGAAAGTGAGGGGGGGACCAGGGACAACTTTGTCCAGAGTTCTCGCCAGACGCTTTGCCGAGCAGTTGCCAAAAAGGAATCCACCGCGGAAATGGAAAAAAAAAGTCGAATATAAATTCGATATAAAAAAGCCGAGCCTCGGATTTGTATCGCCAGCATGGACGGCGAGTTTCTCGGGAATTCTTAAAATTTATGAACGTAAATCCTCGGAGTACGGATAAATCAATCCCCCTCGATCGAGGACAATGCTGCAATTTATTGCAGGCCAGTAAAAGTTTTTTTGCATCGGGAGGATCTTCTTGCTAGAAGTAAATTCTCCTTGGTTGTAATAAATCCCGACACGGTCCTCTGTAAAACGGGTTGATTTATTTGAATGAGGATGTTTTTTTTTTTCTGCGCGGGAGGTGTCTGAAAAATCGGGGATAGATTTTCTCCTCAGCGTTAGACTCCCCCAGGCTCTAACTCGAGATTCCGCTCAATGACGGATCGTGACGTAGGATGTTACGACCACTTCCTTATAAAAAAGGACTCGTATCGTGACAAACACCGAACGTGGGCGACATTATTCAACCTCGGGACGATACGACAGGAGTTTACGACACGCTCTGGCGACAAATGTCGACTCGGTCGACGAGTGAAATATTTTTCCGAAAATTCCGGCCACGGGTAACGTCACGGCTACAATCAGAAAGCGGTAACCCGTAAGCCCGACTCCCCAACTATAAACTATAAAGGAGGAATCGAAAGAAGAAGCGTTCCCGGAAAAGTCGATGGCGTCCCTGATGATGCTTTTTCAAGGCGCGGTGAATTCGCCGCACGCTACCAAATTGAAACTTCACTGCCGCCCTCATAAATTTTTACGAGTACCATCCCCTTCCCTCCTCCCGATACTTTTTCCCGCCGACGACGTCGAGGCTTTACCGAGAACGCGACCCTGAATGTCGTCCCTCTACTTTCGGCACTTTTTCCTCGCCCCTTTTTACGCCCGCCGAGCGGGTGGACGCGCATTTTGGATAAGCAAAGAAAGCCGCCATAAATGCATATTCCTGTTGGGGGACTAACGCGAGGAGACTAGGGGAGAGTTCGATGGGGATGTTATATCTACCCATCTACGAAGGAGAAAGGAAGACCTAAAAGACCCGAGGGACCACTTCCGTAAATATCGAGAAAGGGCGAGCGGTTATTTAGCTGTCACCGAATTAATGCGATCGCTCCGCAGAAATTCGGATTTTGCGGGAAACCACGTTCTACTACTTCGCTCTGGAGGGAGGTTACTTCTTGCGATCGCGGAATGGGAATTTAAAAATACCGTGGGAATTTCGTCGACCCGGGCTTCATTAATTCATGATGCTTGCGGAAGGGAAGGCGCGAAGAACTTACCTGGCAGAACTCGCGGCCAGTGTTTTACCTGTCTATTTTCGAAAAAGGAGGAGAAATTTCAGGAAGGTCTGGTCTCGACCGTAAATCTAGGGAAGAGTCGCTTATGCGAACGCTGTCCTCCGCAACGAACTTTGCCCGATTTCTTATGTACCCGAGGGAACCTCCTCGTGACGGAGCGTCTTCCTCACGGGAGGAAATCATTTTCCACGGCGATAGGGTCGAAATGTACGACGTAACGGATTTTTCGACTCTCGACATTGCGGGAAATACTGCCTCTGGAGTAATTCCGGGAGACACTTTATCCGTCCACTTCCGAAAAGGGAGGTCATGCCGGAAGAAGGGCCGTGCCCCATAAATCTCGGAAGCTGTCGCTTATACGAACGTCGTTCTCCACGATGGGCTTCCCTACTTTCTTATGCACGCGAAGTACTTTTTATGATATAACGCAGTAAATTCCTATACCCCGGAATATGCTCCTTCCATGGTTCCTCGTTCGCCCCTCTCTTCCCCTACGTGGACACTCGTCGATGATCTTTGAATTAATAATAGGAAGTAAATACCGGAGGTACCCTAACCTAGAATTCCGTACGTCATTTCCGCCTTTCCACTCTACCGTAATAAAGTCGGAGAGGCTCGTAGACGTGCTGCTTAGAATACAGAAATTCCGTCTACTCGTAATGTCGACTCGATTTCGAGGGATGCAATTTTCACCTTCCTCCGAGGCACTTTTCATCCGGCGGAAATGCGTCGGGAGGCGCCTCCGCCATTCGTCGAGTTCTTTTGAAAATGCCTCTCTGCTAGAAACGACACCTCGCCCAATGAATTCCTCTATTTCCTTGGCGTTTAATTAGCTACGTAAATTCAATTGAGATATTAACTCTCTTTCACGCGGCCGGGGCGGTCGTTGCGACGAATTTCCTCCGCCTTTAATTACACGATCTGCGAGCCCCTCGACTTTTCCCCGAGAGTGACCACTTCGCTCCCAATGTTTCATCGTCTTTTGTGATGGCAAAGGAATCCGCGAAATTCTAAGGGGAAAATCTAATCGCGCCCACCTCGTCCGCGGGTACGCGTACCGAGCACCTGTTCTCCGTTCTCCATTCGCGACTCATTTTCCGCCGCAAAAGTTCAGCCGGGTCGTAAAATCTCGCCGATGTTACACCTCGTAAAGTTGGACTTCTTTTTTTTTTCTCTTAAGAAGCCTCGTAAAGTCCTGTAACCTTTTTAAAGAAGGCCCTAAAAATTACTTCCATGGGTTGCCTCCGCCGCATTAGGTGCGTCTTCTCCTCGCGGGAAAAAGAGTCTTGTTTGCTAAGGAGCTTCTTTTCCTCTTCGCTGAAGGCGAAATGTGCTTGAAGGAAACGTGTTCGTGACTTTTCAGGTGGATGTCGGGCCAGGGTGCCACGTGGACCCTGAGAAGGGTTGCACCTGTGCGGGGACGCGTGTAACCGAGTGTGTGCCGGAAGAACGGGTTCAGGACTGGGATTTCGAGATGAGCTATGAAGGGAGGCCTGGGCTGCCTGATAGCCTCCGTGTTTGTCCTCCAATTGGTCCAGCTGACACTGACCGTAGATGCCCTTCCTCCAGTCGTCAAGATCGGTAAGTCGGACCTTTCTAAAATTGACGAAATAGTTTTTTTTTTTGGTACAAATTTCGCGAAAAGAGTAGGACGGGAAAGAGCCGAGAGCGGGGCTAGGAAATTCCAAGGCATTAATCTATATCAACGAAGAACTCGATCTCCATCGAGAATAGGTTGGCGTTTATTTGGTGGAGCTCAACCGCCGAATAAATGCAACAATGGCCGGCGGTTCGGGAATGGCCCGGCTTGGTGAAATATCGATATACCTTGGTATTCGTTACCATCGAAAATCCACTCCTCCACTTTGTCTGCCCCCATTTGTGTAACATTCTATTACTCTCTCGTCTTCCCTCGCTTTTGACAAATCCTCTTACTGCCCGAACCGGCGACCAAATTGCGAAATGCAATTTCGACGCGTTGCGCGCCCATGCGCGATAAGATATCAATTCGAGCCCCCCCCCTGTTAATTTGTTTATTAGCTTCCACTCTGAAAACCATGCTGTAACTTTGACGTTTTAGAGGAAAATATATAAAATGACGAAATGGAGGATGACCTCGGTGAAATGTATATTGATTAACGTCGGTTGTTAAATCGATGTGCCAATTAACATTGCATCTTCGATATCCAAGGGAGGGAATGTATTGTAAATAATGGAAAGGCGATTCATCAAGCCGCCCAACTCGGTGCTATACAATTCAAATGGCATCTTTTCTTAAAAGTTACTCGGTTGGGGGAAATCCCGGAAATTTCTCGGGGATGGAGAGGAAGTGGGACCAGAGGAGGAAAATGCGACCACCCTCGTAAATTAGGAGAAATTGTTGCACGCGGTAAGCGACGATGGGAGGCGAGACTCATTGAAAAGTTTATCTTGACAAATCGCCGCCTCTGTGTCGTTTTTCGCGGAGAACTTTATTTACTGGCGCAAAGAAAATCGCGCCGACCTCGAGGGATTCAATTGAAAAGGGAACGGCGGAAACGTCAACAACGCTCCTCCCGTGGAAATGGAATAATCCGCACTAAATTTGTAAGAACAATTGTCTGGAGCCCGATGCGCGAAATTATTCTCGCAAATGAGCATTAACTACGTATCAAATAAATGTTGATCACTCACGGCAGATTCGGCTCGTCAAACGGTAACATATTAGTAACAAATTTCACGATTTATTAACGGCAATAATTTAGCCGATATTGAGGACTTTGCCAATAAGGGTTATTTGGTTAACTGCTCCTGCGGAAAATGAAGTGCTGATACAGGAACTGGGAAATTTGGCAGGTACCTCTGTAAAATAATTATTACATTACTAGCACTGATAACGAGCAGTGTTCATTGCTCGCGGGAAAATTTGTCACCGTGACGAATTAGTCCTCCACCTTTATCTGATTATTTTGTTGAACCCAGAAAATGAAAATGCACCATCCGCCTGCGATAAATTTTGGCTGTAATTTTTTCGTCGCTGCTGTTACCTCTGAACAAAATTATTCGGCAACGTTTTTAGACAAAATAGCACTCCGGGGCCAGGCTTTAAATTTTAAACGAGGTTGTAATCGAATTATCCTCTCCGTGTAAATTAAATGTTTGGTCACTCGCGAACCGATGGCTCGGTAAACAAAAATTTTCCCGGTCACGTAATTCGAAATCAGTGTCGGACTTTTTTTTCTTTTTTTTTTTCGAGGGAAGGGAAAGCGCGGAACGGAATCACCGGGAGATGACGGGGGATTTGAACGAAGCTTTAAGAGCTTCGGTTTTCAACCCTAGCCCGTGAATGCGCATTCTTCCCTTAGCGACTTATCGCGAAGTGGAAGGTAATTTCAAGAGGAAAAGTAAAAGGCCGTCCAGCGGAAACTCAGTCAGGATTTAATGGTCCGTATCCATCGTTCGGTAAATCACCGAGTAGCATCGAAAAGCGAGGTACTCCTTCCTCCGCCATTGGTTTCCGTTACTCGAAAGATTTTCTCCTCCCCTACCCTTTTTTCCTTTCCTCCTTTTCGATGAGGACTCCAAGGCGGGGTCAATGGATCCTTGGAGTGGACGTTCTCACCGGCTGTCTCAAAGCCATCCGAAATTCCCTCGACTTCTCTGAAATTCCTGACGAACGTGTGGAGAGGAGTCGTGGGAAATGATCGATTGCAAATTCGGAAATCAAAGTTCAAAGGGAACCGGTGATAGCCGCCGTAACGCATCCGATGGTGCTAATCTAACGTGATAGCTGGTCGCGACAATTCCCCTAGGGCAAACCCCTAGTAATATTACCCCACGTTGCGGCGGTAACCCTCGGCAAATAATACTAGATCGCGACAAACCTCGGCAAACAGAGGGACTGAGAAGAGGGGTTCCGAAAGAGGCGCCGACGTGCGGAAATAAATGCGAAGGAATCTCAACCGCGAGCTACTCTTTCGATTCCATCCCCTCTGCGAACTACCCCTACGTGGGGGGGGGCGAAAATCGAAGGAGAAATCAGTCTCCGCCGAACGTCTATCTCGTAGGAATCCTCGCGAGACATCCCGTCTTGATCCTGTTTAACGTTTCGCTTGATACCCCTTTCTGAAATACTAGATTTCCCTTTCAATGGCCGGATTTCGAGCACCTTCGAATCCTGGTGACTTATCCGAGTTCCGTTTCTAAAAGTCTCCCTCGTCTTGTATCTGAACTTTTCCGAGTTTTCGGTGCTTGACGGGGTGATCGCCCCGAAGGGAGAGACTCTGTCGGAAAGGTTTCATACGATTATAACGATCTGGCTTCTTATCGGAGACATAATTCTCCCGAGGTGCTGGCGAAAAAAAAAAAAAAAAGGGTGGAGGGTAAATTCCCAGAACGTTCAATTCTCGAGTAGGTAAAGAAAGGTGGACGGAGGTGAACATTGCCAAGTCCATTCCCATTCTCCACCTTGACGAGTCGAAGGCACGAAACTTCCCAGAATTCCCTCCGGAAGTTCCGTCATTCGAGAAAGTTTCGTCCAGCGTGGTCCAGGCCCTTCCCTGAAGTTGTCAGAAATTTGCCGGGGATAACGCGATAAGCGCCGTAATAGACGAAATGACGCGACACCGGAAAGGTTTGATAGGATTATGCCGGGGAACTATCTTATCGGCGCCAATCCTCGTAGGAACTGAAACAGCCGTTTCGAAGTTGGCCGTGAAATACCGGCAATCCATGTAGTATCTTCGCCTGGGAGAGATTCGTCGATACTTTGAACGCGTGCCGCGAAGTTCGAGGTTTAAACAACACTTTCCTCGGATATAACGCCGCCGATATCCACGTGGATGGAGATTTACCTAAACCGAATCGAAAAGTTGGACAGCTCGCGATAAAAATCAATGGGGGAACGAGCTACCCCCTCGTGAACTTACGGCGCTCGAGTGGAGTCCGAAAAGGGGGGTGATTCTTGGGCGCCATTTGCGCGGCCTTTTTGAAAGGGGGTTCTCTCCCGATTTTTACGCCCGACGAGTTCCCTTCTCGACCCCCTTTGATCCCGGCGGTGTATGACCGGATAAAGGCCGGCAGAAGGAAGTTTAAATAAAAAGGAAAACGCTCTTACTCCCGGCACGACGTGGCCGCTCTTCCCGCGGACGTCCACATCCCACTTTTTCCGGCTGAAGCTCCGCGCTTTTCCGCCCTTCGCTTCCAATGGGCAGCCTTCCTTTCCGCTGGAGCCACGTGGACGGAAGGGTGGCTCGCTCGAGTGCCTACGACGACCACGAGAGGAAAGAGCAGGGGATGTCACCGGAGCTGGAGGAGACGGAGATAGGTGGACCCGCCAGAGAGGAAGGTGAAAACGAGTGGGAAGGAGGCCGCGGGGGAGGAATGGTTGCGAAAGGAAAAGAGAGGATCAGAGAGGGAGCTACAAGGAAAAAGAACGAGGAAGAGGGGAAATTCGACGACGCGGCGCCTCGCGGGCTATACTTTCGAACTTGAACCCCTTTGTTCGGTGACTATCCCTGCGGGGGGTCCTGAAAAACGAGCCAATTTATAGGGAGAATTAGACACCGTGGAGGTCGCGGCACGTGGCACGCGTTTCGAAATTTCCTGGTGAGCTGATTTTATCCTTATTATTTTTCTTCTTTTTCGAACTCATTTTTTCGAGGCCATTCCGACGGCCTATCCACGTGGAGGCGCTCGGTTGGGAACCGCATTAATGGTTCCGCGGATAAAAGAGGAAGTCCTAATAACTCAACGGGGGAAAGAAAGGATCTCAACGGACGAGGGAGAATTTCCCGTTGACCCAATTAATATTCTTCCCCCGAATGTCTTATTCGCGTCGATAATGGATGACCACTGTCCTGGACTTCGTCAAGGAAGGTGGAGGACATTCCCCGAAATCGCCTCGATTCTTTAACCCGGTAAGGGAAGAACTAGAAAGGTCCACGAGGTGAATTAGTCGGAGGAAATTTAAAAATGTAATTTCTACTTTTTACGACGGACACTCTGGACGTATCTTTCCATCTTCTTTCCGAAATACTCGGGTTATGGGATTTCTGGAGGGAAGGGGGTCGCGAGGCGAGCCGGCAACGCTTTTAATAAATTCACGAGGGTTCGACAAATATAAGTTTCACTCCCCCGGATGTATCCTCGGTGGGTTCTCGATCTTTTCCGATTTTCAACCCCCTCGGCTATCCGGGGCTTGAAATGGAAACGCTCGAGTTAAATCGAAGGATCGAACTTCGGTCACTCGTTTCACTTGTCGTTTCTATCGGTCGAGATACTTTTGTTGACTCGGCAAAATTGCCGACTCGCGACACCTCCTTAGGTTGACGATTTTTCCTGCTTTTCTCTAGTTCCTCTTTATCGACCTCTCGGGGGAGAAGTTTCGACAAACATAATTATTGTAGCTTCACTCGCCGTCGAGGAGAGCATCGAGTCTCACTTGATTTTCCTTTAGGTTTGTTAACGCTCGCGTTGACTTAGCGATTTAATTGCGGGAGTTGTTCTCCTTCGAAAAGGCGAAACACCGCGGGCCGTTCGACTCCTCTCTTTGTCGGCTGGGTGGAGGGAAGAAAATGCATCACCGTCGGGGGCGGAGAAAA